ACAACGCTTAATGTATGTATTTTATAATTACACTTAACCTTAAAAAGATACTCTTATATACAGCTGTCGAACCAGGTCTGTGAGAAATAATATTTTAAGTGTGTAAGCTGTGATTCTGAAAAAAAATATAGGTATATATAAAAAAACTTTGTGTGTTAATAAAACGCTATTTTTTGATAAAAAAAAAAATGCTATGGATACCAAACAAAATGGCTTGATGAATATTAACCAGTGTCGGCTCTAAACAAAGCATACATTCCTAAGTGGTCTCCAAAATTTTGCGCAAGCGATATGAGCAACACACACAGTCAAGGCAGTGGATTCCAAAAGAGGTTTTCTCGAATGAAAACATATTGCATACAAGTATATCATTCAGAAATATTTGAGTTTGCCAAAACTCTCTGCAAAGTGCCTACCGCATGAGCTCCCAATAAACCGATTAGCCGTGGCACAAATGAGTGAGAACGTTTACAAATTGCATTAAAAGTTCGTCGAAAATACGAAGGCTATTAGGTTTAGAATTTGGTGTTGAAAAAAATACGAAGAAATAAAGACAATTCCGTATTTTATAACATTTACTTATTTTGTCATTTTAATTTATAATTTCTAACTCAAAAAGCAGCTTTTGTTCATCTAATTTTTTAAATAAAAGTCATATTACTTTTTCTGAAATATACTCATCTATGTACATATATTTGCGTTTCAACAAATTTTATTCAACCTTGCACGGCCTTATCTTAATTGCTTAAAAATTACATAATAACTGATTTTAGGTGTCATATTGGCAACAACAACAAAAGTTTTACTACATATGAAAACAAAATTAGCAATCAATTACCATAGAATTGTGGCAGTAATTCTGTTTACTTTAATATTTATCCACAAATTGTTATATTTTTGTAATTTTTATTTTACTTTAACGGTGATATCATGTTAAACTCGTTGAATTAAATATTATTAAATTAAATAAAAATTACGCAATAATTGCCCGAAAATATAAACGAGTGCAAGATTGAGTACATTTTCAGCACATTTAGCTTATGAAACGTGCCGTTATTAATGTTCATTCATATATATATGTATATACATATATATGTATATATAATATTATATTATTTTATAAAGAAATATCGTCTTTTTCCAACCCATGAAAAGTGCAACACAATGAAGGCAAGCGAAGTAAATATGTATGTATGTACATATGCATGTATATACTTTTTATGTATGTATGCAAGGCGACCTTTGATAACGAAAAATAAATTATCAGTAATGACATACACAGACATTTTTATGATTAATTATTTGGCACATTATTCATATTATATATGTATGTACATATGTGCTATTTTTATTTACATTGTATGTGAAATTGCAAGTAATTACGCTACATCTCTTTTTTGCACTATTTCAAAGTATAATTGAATATATATTTTATAAATGTATATATTTATATACCCATATATAGTAAAAGAATCAGTGAAAGTTAGTAGGTAGCAGTTGTAGTTTTGCTCCACGAAAGTTGCTGGCATGCCACGATGACTGGAAATATACATATGAATATTTCTCTAAAATTAATTAAAATAATCTTCGCTGAATAAATCCACCCTTAATTGAGTCATTTAGAATTTTTGCTCTATACATATCAATATAGGCTATTAACTAATTGCCATAATCTTAATCGTACACCTTATCGTATCAGTGTAGACATTCAGCAAACTCACTCACCCTTAATGGAATATATTAGTGCACAATTAGCTATTTGACACATCCTTAATTGACTCAATTAAAAATTTTACGCAAAACGCTCTAGTGTAGACATTTAGCTAATTTACACACCCTTAATTGAGTCAATTAGAATTTTTCCCTTAAACGTATTGTATTAACTAATTGAGATGTTCTTAATTGACACAATTATCAATTTTTCGCAAAACGCTCTAGTGTATGCATTTAGTTAATTGACACACCCTTAATTGAGTCATTTACAACTTTTCCCTTAAACGTATTAACTAATTGAGATGTTCTTAATTGAGTCAATTAGCAATTTTAAACAAAACGCATTAGTGTAAGCATTTAGCAAATCAACAAACCCTTAATTGAGTAAATAATCGAGTTTTTTACCAATACGAATAAGTGTAGATTATTAGCTAATTGACACACCCTTAATTAATTCAATTAGAAATGTTTCTCCAAATCATCAAATTTTCTCATTATGTCCTAGTATAGACAATTGGCTAATTAACAAATCTTTAATTGAGTCAATTAAAATTTTTTTCCCAACATATATTAGTATAAGTGTTTAGCTAGTGGACGAAATTAAGGTTATGTCTAGAAAGTCTACATTAAAAACATGTTTAGTAAGCATATATTTTTAGGAAAAACAACAAGTAAGTCGAAAATTTGCAAGATGGAAAAAATAATCTATTGTATATGTACAAGCCACTGTGCCTCCAATAATTTTAAGCAAAACAGCGGAATTTGGCAAACTCACTAGTAATACCAAAACATGCAAAAATACCAAAAATCGAAAATAAATTGCGAAAGCATTGCTCACGTCACGCCGCGGTCGCAACTTTTTGCCCTGACATTGAATTCATTTCGGAAACTCACGCTTATGAATACAACAATATATATGTATATATATTCCATACAAATATGTTTGTGTCCGTATAATTTATTTGTGATACACACACATCCGCAAAAATTAAATAAATATACTTAAATATATAATATATGGTATGCACATATACATACATATGTGTATGTATATAAGAAATCATCTTTTTTTATTGTTTACTAGCCAATCTTGTTTGTCGCTTTTTGCAAGCTACATCAATATTGACACTGACTGTGGCTGCGAGTGCGACTGTGGCCTTAAATGGCTGCACTGCACTGATAAAAAATCCATGCATACATAAACAAATACACACATATAAACAATTATATCACTTTTTTATACATATGTAGATGTGTATGTGAGTGAGCAAGTATGGAAAATATTGTCAAAACGTTATATGACAATTCTTCTTCTGCTTCTCCAGCGCGATTGAGTTGGTGCATTTTTTCGGTAAATTTCACAGAATTTAGTCAAAATCCGGCTTTCGTCGTCACTGGACGTCGTCTAGTTTCTGCAGCAACAATGCAATAAATATTGCCAAAAAAACAGTGTGAACAGTTTAACAGTTGTGATTATTCTTATCGCTAGCAAAAACCCTTATTGATAACATTTTAAGTCACCCAATTACCTACTTTCGCTACGTGTGACTACTTGACATAGCAACCTAATTATTTTTGTAGTTGTATTGGGCACATATACACAGAAAATGCGCTTGAAAGCGGCACAAAAATACAACAAAAAAATGTTTTAAAATTGGTTTGTTAAATTTCAAGGTCAGTGCTGTATGGAAAGTAAAAACGTAATGGTAAGTATACATAATCAAACAATACGAGTATAGTGATATCAAACGCGCAATAAAGATAACGAAAATAAAAATTGTTAATTGATAGTTTAATTGAAAACGAAAGTGCAAGGGCATGCATTATACACGTAAAACAATCACACACCCATAAGTATGTAGAACTTACCCGCTTCTGTTGTTGTATTTGCGATTTTAAATTCCAATTTGTTATCTATTAACCTTCAAATGGTTCAGTTGCCTCACCTGTTGTGTACATTAAGACTCTACTATCTCTATACATATACATTAATACACATAACTGTAACGTAATTTGGCAAGTGGATAGTATATTGCGATTGCATTATTTTAACGTCGTAATTAGAGCTTAATATGTGTACGTGTCAGGGTGGTTCTTAAAGTGTTATGTAGTTAACAATCTATTACATAGAGCTACTGATTTCAGTACATTGGAACACACCATTTTTGAAAAAAAAACTTTTGGTAAATTATTCATTAGGAAATTTTCGTAAAATTAAAAAAAAATTTAAATTGAAATTGATAACTTCGGTTTCAGTGAATCTAGAATCACCTGCGCAAATAAAAAAGTTTCTATACAAAGTACTTGATTTTGATCGGCCAGTTTGCATGGCAGCTATAAGCTATGGTCCAATCTGAACAATTTATGCCAAATTTTGTGAAGATAATTTGTCAAATAAAAGAGTTGTCCATGCAAGAACTTGATTATAATCGATCAGTTTGACTTAGATAATATTGTGGTCTAATACCTATTATTTCGAGAAAGGAGCAACTTTTTAGGGAATAAAGAACGTATGCCAAATTTCAGATCGATGTCTCAAAAACTGAGGGACTAGTTCGCGTATATATAAACAGACAGACGGAGATGGCTAAATGGATTCAGCTCGTCATCCTTCAAATATAAAACATGTTTCATGTTCAAAAACTAGCAAAATACTAAAGTAAACTGGCCTTTAGCAGTTTTTTTTTCATTTTGACATTTGTGCATACTATAAAATAATGTGATAATAATACATAATAAACGAAAATTAGCGACTGGCTAGTCAGTTGCCTGAAATTAGGTACCGGTAGTCATATATAAAGCATATTATGGTATACGGAAAGGGTGTACCATTTTCGCGCTAGAAGTCCTACATAATAGCTGTATCAGTTTATCTGCTGGACACATGCACCTTGACAGATATTGCAGATATTGGGTACCATTAAATACCCACTCTTTATTGATTCTCATTCCAATACGTCTGAGGCAATGATATATGGCATATGCGATCTGCCTCTGGATCAAGAAAAGTCCAATAGTTCTATCATACCGAACTTTCTAATGAAACATACTTTTCGACACTTATAATAAACGCTTAGGTATCATTAAAGACTTCAACCTCAATTTTGGTATAGACAAAAGTTGATTACAAGTATATAAGCAAGTGAAACTAAACTGTAGTAGAAATATTAAATGTCCGATTATAAACTTTATATACAAATAATTCAATTTTATCCTTAAACTTAAGTAAAATTAAATTATTTAATATTTTTTTAAAATTTTATAATCTAATTTCTTTCTATTTCCAGACACTGCCATATAAAAAACGGAAGCTGCAAACTTTACAACCTTCAACTTCAAAACTACCTCGTATAAGCTACAAAATATTGCAAATAATTCTTAAAACAGATTAAAAATAAACTGCCGGTGTCTTTGTTAAGACATCAACAAAACAACAAACGCATAAACAATATACAAAACTATACAAAAAGAAATTAAGAAGCTCTAACCGGTGAACTTCAGTGTTATCAACAATATAACAATATTCAAAAGCAGATATCGAAAATGGATGAATATCTAGTAGAAATCTCATAGAATTATTAAATTTGGAAAACACAAAGTCTCACTTACACCCTTATTGAATCCAAATCCTTCCCGCAACTAATATCTCAGCTACACCACCCTAACCCCAACAAACTCCTACACCTACACCTATTACCCCGACTACCAATACCGACAGCCACAAAAAAATATGAATTCCTTGGCAAATGCTAGCGACGTCGAGGCCGCGGCAAATCAACAAATGCTCAATTTTCAGTCTCCACAACGCCAGATAAAGACAGGCACAGCCTCAACAAGTCCAGCTGGTACACCCTATAAACAGAATGGCAGCAATGGCGATGCTAGTTTGAATGGAACACCATTACACAATGGTCACGGCAATGCGAACGGCACGAATGGTTATCAGAATGGAACACGACGTGATTCTACGCAAGCTTGGACCCCACTACTATCTAACGGTAATGGTAACAGTGCTGCACTAAGCAATGGTAATGGCAACGCTGGCTTGACTGACAACAGCTTAGTTGGCACAGCAAGTATTAATGGAGCGGAAGACGGTAGTCTAGCAGGACAAGAGACGAATGGAACTCTAGGTGATCCCACCACTGTACTATACACCACATCGACCAGTAATAACAACGAATGGAAAGATGCCGAACAAATAAATAACCTCAAAAATGGACTGCTACATTATCCGGTTAATCATCAGGGCAACAATAATGGTTCGCTAATGAACGGAAAGAATGGCATTGGCTTGGGCGTACCAGACAAGTATGATGAACAAGATCCACTTACCGGTTTATACACACAAAAAAATACACGAACGCGTGAACCGGATGAATCGGATACTGATTCCGAGTTGAGTAACGGCGATCGATCAGCACCCGGCTGCGGTTTATTTGGCTGTCGACCGAAATGGGCGCGCAACTTTGCCTCGACCAATGTCTTTATGGTGGTTTTTTTGCTCGCCTACATTTTACAGGGCATGTATATGACATATTTCGTGTCGGTGATCACTACCATCGAGAAACTATTTCAGATTAAATCGAAAACGACGGGTTTTCTACTAAGCGCCAGTGAGATGGGTCAAATTAGTACTGCTATGTTGTTAACCTACTTTGCGGGACGTGGTCATCGCCCACGTTGGATTGCTTGCGGCATGGTATTATTCTCCATTGCAGCTTTCGCTTGCTCATTGCCGCATTTTATATTTGGCAAACAACTGATGCAATCACTTGATACTCTCAGTAATGGCGGCAATGGTGGTAATGCGGCAATGCGCGCCTTACATGGTCAAATGCTGCACGCCAGTTATGGACTGCATGGAATGAATGACACAATAAATGCAACAAGTGCGAACGCACTGGAAGGCGGTCTCAGTGCGTTGTTGGCCAATGTGCCAGGCTCACACGAAATGAATCTGTGTATACCAGGACAGAACTCAACGAACTCCAACTCAGGTAAGATCACTTAAAATATATGTATAAACGTTACGACATAGTGAAAATTAGGTACCGGAATCGGAGTGTGCGCTTTAATTAATTTATGTTGTCGAGCGCACTACCAACCCAGTGATGGATAAGGACTCCAGAAAGCGCAGTATTCTGCAATATAATAACTGGTTTCCCCTTGAAGTAGTGTGGCTCAAAAGTAATAAGTAAGTAAGGTAGATACGTCCATATTTATACCCAGAACAGGAGTTTTTGAGATATCAATCTGAAACTTTCACACGTCCTTTTCTCCCCAAGAAACCGCCGATATCGAAGCACAATAGCTATAGCTGCCATTAAAACTGATCGATCAAAATCAAGTCCTCGTATACAAAAACTTTTTTATTTGACAAGATATCTTCATGAAATTTGAGAATTTTTTTCAGTTTATCCTTCGAGACAACGGTACAATCACCGAACATATTATCCAGATCAGACCACAATATTGTATAGTTATCATACAAATAGGCCGATCAAAATCAAATTTTTGTATGGCAACTTTTTTTAACTATAAAGGGTGTTCTAGCTTCGGTGCAACCGAAGTTAACGGGTTTTCTTGTTTTCAAGTGGTTTCGGGTACTACGCTAAGTCTCTCTCTAGATAATCAAGAGCAACTCTTTAAAATTCTCAAATTTAGTCCAAACACTTATTCAGTCCTTATCCTTTTTATACCCTGAACAGGGTTAAGTTTGCTACGAAGTTTGTAACACCTAGAAGAAAACGTCTGAGGCCCTTCAAAATATATACTTAAATGACCAACATGATGAGCTGAGTTGATTTAGTCATGTCCGTCTGTCTGTATATACGCAATATCAGACCACTATAGCATATACAAGGTACAATTCAAAAGTTCCAGGACTTTTTAAACAACGCGGCTTCTAGTGGCGCCATCTGTCTGAAATTGTTATCCCTCAATTGTGTACTCTTGAGTGTTGTCGTATAAAATTTATATAACAGCTGACTTGTATAACAGCTGAGATATCGCGCTACATGTGGCATTACATTTGTAGTGTCGGTCGGAAAATGAGCATCGAACAAAGAGCCAACATTAAGTTTTGTTTTAAACTTGGTAAAACTTTTACCAAAACTCATCAAATGATGAAACAAGTTTATGGCGGCTACGGGATCCGTATTCACGAGTGGTTTAAACGTTTTCAAGAGGGACGGGAGGACTTGGATGACGACGAACGTTCGGGCCGGCCAAAAGATGTTGTAAATGAAAAAAACACGGAAATTGTGCGTGAATTCATTTAAAAAGAGCCGAAATCATCGCTTAAATATATGGAATCGGAATTATCAATATCCGCAGCGTCGATTTATCGTATTTTGACAGAAAATTTGGGCCTCAGAAAGGTTTGTGCTCGATTTGAGCCGCACACTTTGAAACAACACGAAAAAGACCTCAGAATTCAACATTCAATTTGATCAAAAATCGCATTCATTTCATCAACCATTCACCCTATTCGCCTGATATGACACCCTGCGATTTTTATTTGTTCGGAAAACTACATTTGGCCATGAAAGGAAACCGCTATGCTGACGTTGATGCCATCCAAAAGGCGACGACCGCCATCCTAAACGCTTTACCGACAAATGACCTAAAAAAGTCATTCGATAACCTTCTTGAACGTGCAAAACGTTGTATTCAGGTGGAAGGAGAGGGCGTTTTTTAATAAAAGTCCTGAAACTTTTGAATTGCACCTTGTATCTGCCATATTAACTGAACGATCGGAACCAAACGCTTGTATGGAAAACTCTTTCATTTGACGAGGTATCTTTACGAAATTTGGCATGGATTATTATTGAAGACAATAATGCAATCTTCGAAGAAGTTGTATAGATCGGATGATTATTGCATATAGCTATATATTTTTTTATTTGACAAGGTATTTTCGCAAAATTAGATCGGAAACAAGTTCGTGTAAGAAACCTTTTGTATTTGTGAAGGGTATTATACAATATCTTCGGTGTAACTGAAGTTAACGTATTTTCTTGTTTTAAATTTTTTCCGATATTTTTTTATAGAATGCGATGAGGATCAAAAATTGGAGCAGGCGTCACACTCAAAAATCACCGTTATTGTACTGTGCATATTCTTCGCTAGTCTTTTGAGCTCTGGTATTGGACAGACAGCAGTAGCCACACTAGGCATACCCTACATAGATGATAATGTGGCAAGTAAACAGTCACCCATGTACATGGCCATAACGATTGGTGTACGCATTTTGGGACCCGCATCCGGTTTCATAGTGGGTTCATTTTGTACACGCTGGTATGTGAATTTCTCAAATCCCGGTTTCGATGCAAGCGATCCACGTTGGATTGGTGCCTGGTGGCTGGGACCAGTTGGTATCGGTACACTTATGTTGCTGTCATCCTTCGCAATGTTCTCATTCCCAAAACAGTTGCGCGGCAAACGGAATCCCAGTGTTGGTGAGGCTAAAGCGGATGGCGGTGATGACGCGGCAGCAGCAGTGGAGGTGGATGAGAAGCCAAAATTAAGAGGTTTTATAACTTCCTTGTAAACAAAAGCTAAATGTTAAAGTGTTGACTTATTATTTCTATTCTAAAAGATTTTCCGAAGACCGTACGACGGCAACTTAAAAATGACATTTTAATGTTCCGCACTGCTTCGTGTGTCTTCCATCTATTACCAATCGCTGGACTCTATACTTTTCTACCAAAATACCTCGAAACACAGTTCCGTTTAACCACCTACGATGCCAGCATGATTGCCGCCTTTTGTGGCATACTCGTCATGGGTGTGGGCATTGTAATATCCGGTTTAGTCATTTTAAAATTGAAGCCATCGGCGCGTTCCGTAGCCGCTTGGATTGCGTTTACAGCGTTATTCTACTCAGCCGGCATGGTTGTGCTGATGTTTGTTGGGTGTAGCATGAAAGATTTTGCTGGTTACAAGAGTGCCACAAGTGATTCGTAAGTTCCAAGCAACGTTATCAAGTATATATATTATATACTTGTACATGTACATATATATTATATTCGCAATTCTTTTGCGTTTACAGTCCTGCCATGATCGAACGAGCATGTGACCTCAATTGTTCCTGTGATACGGGTAATTACGCCCCCATTTGCGGCATGGATGGTCGTATATATATTTCCACCTGTCATGCTGGTTGTACAGCGTCAGCATTGACTGATAATGGCACCGTATTCAGTAACTGTACATGCATTCCAGATTGTAAGTTTGAAAGCGATATTTACACTTATACTCATACACACACACAGATACATATGTATACTCACAATTTCCATAATCGCTCAAAGCATGTGCGCATTGCGTATACGTAACATTTTACCTAAATTCAAATTTCACCAGAGGCAACCAATTTTGCTTTTCATTTAAATCATAAGAATTTCCATTAATTATTTAGAATTAGTTGATTAAATATATTAAACCTAAATATACATATATAAATTATATTTTGTTGGACTTTCTACAATTAAATATATTTCCATAAGATATACGTCCCTCCAGAAGCAGCTCATTTGTTGAAACTATTTCGAATCATTATAGCATATAACTACCATATAATTACAACTGATAGATCAAAATTAAAATCTTTTTTTTTTTTTTTTTTTGTTATACCGTATCATATAAATTTTATTAAAACTCAGCTGCCTTCGGAAATATAATAAAATTTGAATGATAAGCTGATTTTATATCACAGATCACTATAGTAAGAGCTTCTCGAATTCTCTAAAACGAGGTTGCCGCATAGTTTGTTCTTGATGTTAAAGAAAGTTAAAGAACTCATTTGGCGAGAATCAAACCTTCCAATTCACTATTTTGTTCGATCACAAAAAAAATATTATTGCTGATATGTTAAGGCTGCCATTGCCTCTTATTTTTTTTTTATTAAAAAATATTTGTATCATGAAATTAATCATCTTAACGTTTAAAATTGCCGTTTTTTTTTGTGTGTGTTATACCGAAGAGAGCGATAATAGCTTATACAGAACTTTTCTGAGTGCTTATCGGAAAAATACGTCAAACGTCACCTGGCGCTGCTCGTTTATTAATTTTATACATAATAAATAAATAATTATAAAAAATAGGGTACTCATTGGAGTTATTAAAACCTCCTCATAATGAAAACCTTTATGCTAGACCCTTATTGAAATTTATTTTTAGCAACTTCATTTTCAAAAATTATTAATGTATTACTTTTAATTTATTTTCTTATATTAGATATTGTACTATATTTATATGTATGTAGATATTAATAACACTCATGCATACATATGTATGTAGACATTTTTATACTCATTATAAAGTACATGTACTCTATATAACATATAATATGTATGTATAATTAGAGACATTCATTTGCATGGCTTTTTCATTTTCATTTATTAATTATTGCATTTTATTTCATTTTTTTTCTCATATACATTAATTATTTTTTACCCATTTCCTCGAGTCACTGTCATAACCTACCCCATTTTTCTTCTTTTCTCTTCTTTCTACCCCACCCAACCAACTTTCTGTTGCGTGCGCGTGTTTATCTGTTCTTACAGCTTTTAAGAACCAAGCGATCGGCGGATATTGCGCTAATAACTGTAAGAATTTCATATTCTTCATCATTATATTCGCCGTTTGTGTGTTTATGCATTCGACGTCGGAAGTGGGCAGCATGTTGTTGGTGATGCGTTGCACACATCCAAATGGTAAGTAAAACTAAGACAAATTAAATAGTTTCTTAAATATTTAATCATTTTATTCAAACATAAATTTTTTCGAAAATAAGTTTTGAGAGTTCATATTTTTGTTCTTGTAGTTGAAAATAAATTCCATAAAGAGTTTCAGGAAATTCTGCTGAGATCACAGTCCATTACCCGTTATTAATCCGAATACGTACCTTTTACATAGACTCAACTGCCGTTAGAACGGATAATTTTATATAAATGTATATGAGGGTGGTGCCAATATGCAGCATTAAAATTTGTGCATTTGCATTTTCGAAAACCCCAATTTTTATACTCAACTACTGTAAACGAAAATACGTATACAATACTCGTATGTCCATATTTTATAACGTTAAAGTGTATTAGAGAGAAATGAATATTGAAAATAAAATGTATTCAAAACCGATTCTGCTTAAGCCCGAAAGTTCAATATTAAACGTATTTAAATGAAAGTTAATTTGACATTTAAGGGGTACCCCTAAGACTTACTCAACATGTACTGAATATTTTCAAAACTACTTATAGGGGTTATGGGTCTAGTATTAGATTTACTCAAAAATATTAAAGATGTTAAAATTAATATGAATATAACAATTATTTTTTAAAAATCATCAAATTAAAAAAAAAATATGTTGGACATTAATTATCCGTAATATTCTCAATTCTCTAGTCAATTAACCTCACAAGTATGAAGATATGTAATGCCTCGAGTGTGTGTAATGCCTAGTTATAAAACCTAAAATCTTTCGCAAATATTATTGTTGACAATTGAGTTTCAGTTTATCTTTCGTACAACATTATGCTTATTTAATTATAAATTCTATTATTGCTTCATAATTCAAATATTTTGCTTGTAAATTATAATTTCATAATTTTATCCATATATAATATTACAGACAAAGCCATGGCTATGGGCATCATACAGTCGGCGATTGGATTATTCGGTAACGTTCCTTGTCCAATTATATATGGCGCAGTAGTCGATTCGGCGTGTCTGCTCTGGAAAACGGTGTGCGGCAAGCATGGAGCCTGCTCGCTGTACGATTCGGACACGTTTAGACATTATTTCTTGGGTAAGAATATATTCGTAATAAATTAAAAACAAAATGGAATTTTACTTAACAAAAGGGTTAATCTTGATTATTCTTTTTGGCTACCCAAATATTTGCTATTAATAAATAAATTTAGACTATAAAAAAGCCATTCGGAAAATTTTAAAAAGGCTTTATATAAAATATCTGTCAAATTTGACCCGGACTAACAAAAAACATATTTTCACGTATTTTAATGCAAAACTTTATTATCGCTGTCAAAAATGTTCCTACGCCAATACAAGCATGCCAATCAGGGTGGCAAATAATGCACTAAACAAATAATTGAATTAACAGTTGAATTATAACTTTTTTTTATTTTGTATAAATTAAAAAATTCGCAACACCGTTGCCAATTAATCCTATGGGATTGGATTTTACAATAGTTATAAGTCTCGGCTGTGATAATCCTTCAGTGGCTTTAGCGAATTTTGTTGTTTTTTTTATCTTTCGGCACATTTTTTAGCACCATTCACTAGATTGTTCGACAGTTTCGAACTCATATTTATAAACCCACGTCTCGTCACCAGTAATGATGCGTTTGATAAATGTAGAATACTCAACTATGTTGCCAAGCATCACTTTTCTGATTTTTTACTACTTGTTGTCGTTTTTGCAAGCGATTTAGGTCTTTTGGTACGAGTTTACCATTAACATGCTTCATACCCAAAACATTAACCAAAATATGTTAAGCTGATCCATAAGAGATATTGAGATCCTCTATTATCTCTCTGATGCCAACACGACGATTTTCAAGCAATGTTTCTTTAACTTTTTCAAGCTTATAGCCTTAAACAGGGGTGGATGGACGACAATTACGGCCTAAAATATGATGTATGATCTGCAATAAGTACTCGCATTTCTGCAACAAATCTAAAATCTTTTTTAGCCTTTATTGCAAGTCAAATTCCCTTTGTTTATGTGCAAAAAAACTAAAATTAATTAATTAACACTTAATAATTTTTTATCTCTACAGGTATTACCGCCGGCATAATGTTCCTGGCATTCATAATGGATTTGGTGGTGTGGAGCAAGGCGCATCGCATCGACATAACGCCCGAAGACGGCAGTGAACCGCACGGCAAACAGACAGTCGCAGAGACGGAGTGCAAAAAGTCAATGGTGGCGCCGGATACGAGCGTCTGAACAGCACTTCCTTGCTAAGGCGTGGCGACATATCTTATGTAGCTGAAAGAACAAAAACAAAAATAACAAAACAAAAAACATTTGTATAAGTGTCTTTATAGCCTTGTTACACACAAAACAAAAAGTTTCAAAACGGTATTCAGTTAAAGATATAGAAAATGAGTTGAGCAACTGGATGAGCATATACATACATACATATGTAATATGAAAAGTGAACATGACGCACAATGTGTCCAAAACAAAGGCACGCGAGAAATGCAAAGCAGAATGTGTGTGTGTGTGCGTCACATGCTTTGATAGAATTTGACGACGAAGGAATGCGATTTTGCATTTATTGTTGATAGTTGATTTATTGGTTAGTTTAGTTAAAGTTTAGTTAATGACAGTTTAGTTATAAGCAGCAAAAACTATGAAAAGAGGAAAAACAAAAACAAAAGAGAGCGCGACGATTGAATACTAATGATATGCATGCACAAGGATTAGAATGTGTGACTAAGCATAAATAAAAAAAAATTAAAATTAAAAAATTTTAAACTAAATACATACATATATAGACGGCAGAGAAATTAAAAAATAATCATAATTGGGTGTTTCCACGTGCTTATGTAGATTATATGTAACTACTCTGTATAGCCACATATAAAATTGATTTTTTTTTTTACTAATTTTTAAAAAAAATATTGTGACTTCAATTAACATATGTTGTAAATATGTGCATACATACATGCATAGTATATGTATGTAGGTATATGCGCAAAACTACTTGTAAATTTATGTTTAAAGTTATGCTGCTTGCATTTTCAAATTTAAATGTTAAGAACATGTATATACATATGTATGTAACCGCGTACCATATAGTGAACACTTATTAATATGTCAACATTTAAACAAAATAAATCTCAGTTATAGACTAAAAAATATTATAGACTAAAAATATATTTAACGAAAAAAAAAACAAAACTAAATATTTATGCATTAACAAATACATGCATATGTATGAATGTGTGCATGTTTCTAAAAACGAAAAAAAATATAATGAAAAAAACTACAGCGTAAGAAAAATGGAAGCAGGGAACACAAACATATGTATGTATGTGCATGTGTAAATTTCAATTAATTTGTAGTGGATATACTTTGCAGTAAACAAATTAAATGGCATAAAAATTTACATAATTCGTATATATGACAAATGTATGTATGTATGTATGCGCTGTAAGCGATATTATACCGATATCAATAGAAATTTTCTGAAAATAAAACTTAAAAAAGTAAAAGTAATTTTCCTACACATGCATACATACATACATATATACATATGTATATGGTTATGTGCATATTTGCTTAGTGTACTTTATATTATACATCATATATCGACTGCAGTCTGCTGTATTAGTCGAGGCAGTGCATTAAGTTAAGCACTCGTATATGGTAGCATATATTATTGCATAACACAAAACACACATACACATAGAACCACTCCTATACATACCTACACTATATTTTATTTCATACGTTATTAATTTCTATTTAGTAATATAAAATGTATAGAATTTTAATGTAATGCAACCTATCTGTGGTAGTTAAATTTTAGTTACAATTTAATATACATATACACATACATATACCATATACATATAATGTTAAATGTAAGTTGAAAATAAAAATAAAGTAAAACAATTAAAAAAAATAAAAATAAAACTATAGTTTAATATATAATATACATAGTCTTGCGGTAAATATACAATATACATATATGTATATTCCTACATTAAGGGTCACAGCCTAAAAAAACGGCAACTTTTTGGTATTAAATCAAACTACTTTATCAATTGACATTATGAAATTTTTGTAGTTGCCAACAAAATCAAGTTCTTGTATGGAAAATTTTGTTATTTGACAACATATCTTTCTGAAATTTGGCATGGATCATAGTTTAAGCCCACGATACAATCTCCGAACAAATTGTTCATATCGGACTACATGTAGTTTTCAACAAACTGATCATTAAACATCAAGATCTTGTATGGAAAACTTTTGTCTATGACGAGATATCTTCACGAAATTCGGTATAGGTTATTGCCTAAGGTAACGGTACAATCTCCAAAGAAATTTATCAGATCGGACCACTATACCATATATCTGCCATACAGACTGACCGATCAAAATCAAGTTCTTGTGTGGAAACTATTTTGTCTAGGACATAAGCTGGCGCAATGAAATAGATAAAGAAAATCAACCGAAATTGTTTGACAAACGTGCCGCTACAACAACAAAATATCACAAAAGCTGCGGCTTTCACAAAATGCAACCATCGCATTTTCTATGAAGTATTTAGCCCTCTTCATTCCACTCCCAATCCAGTTCACATCTATTTAAATACATAACAAACCAGTTTTATTTGCTAATTAATTACATACATTTTTCATTTTCATCAAAATACACGTTCAAATGCTTTTTTTAACGTACAGTTATGTTATCTTTTTTCAACCAAAGATTTTTTGCGCAATACGTTTTCAATGCACATACAGTTTTTTTTTCAAATAATTCAACAGTCTTCGATAAAATATTATTTGGTCTATTGTCATCGAATCGAAAGATACACGAAATGCACTTGCTACTCACAAAGCAAGCTAACAAAAAATTGAGTAATCTAACAGTGTTAACATTATTATATTCAACAGTACGAAAATTAAGTATGTAACTTTTTTTGTGATTGTTAGTCCTTCATAAAGAACGAAACCAAAAGACAAAAGGCAAAAAAAGAAAGTTGCTATTAGCATCAGCTCTCGGACGCCCACACCTTGAAGGTACGATCGAACGACGCCGTTACAATATGTTGCGAGTCGGGTGAGATGTCCACGGCCATTATTTTGCCATCATGTCCCAATAAAGTTTTTAATGGCTGCCAAGTTTTATTCGACCAAATTTTCGTGGTGCAATCATAAGAGGATGTAACCAAAAAACTACCACCATCTCGTTGGTATTTAACATCTGATATAAGGTTCGTATGTGCAGGAATCGTATAAACTGGCTGTCGACGGCGTAAATCCCAAATTTTGCAAGTATTGTCCTGTGAGCCAGTAGCAATATGAAATCCATTTGGCGAGAAATCAACGCCAAAAATAGAACCAAGATGACCTTCGAGAAACATTACGCAACGGCCTGCCAAAAAAAGTTCAAATAACTTATTTTATCAAAATTTTATGAGAAAAGTAAAAAATAATCAAACCTGTTCTTAGATCCCATACACGTCCGAATGCGTCAATTCCACCTGTTACTATGACACTGCCATCTATTTGAAAGCTAAGACTATGAACTGCTTTGGCATGCCCTTCTTGATGCAAAACTTCGGTTTTTTGTTCCAAATCCCATAGGCGCCAGGAGGAATCATAACAAGCTGTTGCCAGAAAACGGCCGGATGGATGAAACCCTAATTTAGAAACTCTATGTGGCATATGCCCGGTTATGTCTGCTAAAGATTCTTCCGAATTAAAGCCCCATAACTTCACTGCTCCATCATGACCGCCAGAAGCCATTGCTACAATATTTTTATCATCTTGCGTCACGCCTGGCCGGAATGCTACACCACCAACATAACTTGCATGTCCGCGAAGTGTTAATAGAAGCTTACAATCTGGTACTGTCCACACTTTGCACAATCCGGACCATGATGATGTCATAATCAATTTAGAGTCTTCGCTAAATGCTACACCACTTACTGGACGCGTATCTCCCACTTGACTGCATTGCGGCGCTAATGCATGTAAACGCTTTTGCAGCTCTACTAATCGGCCTGCACGTGTCGCACTTGGCACATCTAATAGAGAACGCGCATGTTCCAGGCGAGTTTTAGCTCTTGGCAAGGAGTAATCTGCAATCCATATTCTTGCCACCCGTAAAGCTTCCGGTCCTTCGTGATACCATGTTGTTTCTTGTTCTTTCTGAAGTTGCTTTCGCTCTTCCTCTTCGGTTTGCTTTTGCTTAATCGCATTCTCCCCTAAGCTAGCTAACAACTCTTTTAAACGGCGCCGCCTTTCTGCTGGACCCTCCCCAAAGTAGCATATCGGCTCATTTAGCTGTCGCAAATTAGCTTTTATTTCGGCGTCATCAGTTGAAACGTTTATTTGACGTGCACGTTTTTTGCGTTCAAATTCTTTTAGCAGCGCTTCCTTGTCTTTCGCTACTTCTGTTTCCAAGTCGAAATAGTCATCATCGATCTTATTAGCTAAAGCACCAGAAGTCGGTGGTAACGTAGGCGCCGTTGGTTTCTTCACCTCCTCATAATCTTCATCAGATTCGATATCTTCGAGTTGATTGGTAACAACACCACTTGAAGTGGCAGCAGTTACTGTGGAGCTTGCCCCCGCAACAGCAGCTGTCTGGCGCTTTCTCTCTACTTCTTCCAGAGAACCGTAGTGCAGTGTGCGTTGCCTTTTAACATACTGAATGTCCTCATCATCGGACATATTACTTATCAATTTTTAAATAAAATAACTGAATTAAACGTTCTAAACTTAATTTATACGGAAATTGAACATAAATCAGAAAATACACAATCCCACCAATTTTACTAACTTGCCGGCGTTTCAAATAGTATTGCTAGTAAACTATCGCTATTATCGATGTTTCGAAAATACTTAAACTCTATCGATAGTTAGTTCTGATATTATTTATATATGTGAACTGATATCTATTGGATATTGACAATATCGGAGAAATCACATTGATTGATTGCTATTAACTGCGATAACAAAGAACCATATTTTGAAAACAAGTTAAAACAATATGACAAATTGCAAAATAAAAATAATAATTTTTTGAGTTTTATAGACCTCTTATAGTTTGTGCTGGCAGTAATGTTAATTGCTCTCTATATACAAGACGTTGGCAACCCTAGTAAATTCGCGCAACCTCACGTTGACCCTTTCCCACACCTGTTATTGAGTTATAAGCTAGAAAGAGATCGCGACTCAGGTCACGAAAGTTGAAACTTCATTTTAAGTTTTTTTGTTCCCTGAAAAAATTATACTAGACAAGAAGGAAAAAAGAGAAAAGTTAGTGAAAGAATATTTTAATTGCGGAAAAAATAGTATTTTTCAGTTTGAAAAGTCGCCAAATTAAAGACAAATAAGTGTAATCTATTTTTAGTGTTTTTATCAGAGGTATGTTGTATATATTAGCTAAAATAAAAAAGACTTTTCCAGACACAAAATAACGTGCGAAAAGCTGCTAAAAAACGGTGAATGATACATTGAATGCCAAACGAGTACTTCAATATTCCGCTTTTTTTTATTGATCGATATAATTTGCACAGTTCGCAAATTATTACTACATATTGTAAAATTTTTGCGTTAGATTATATACATATATACAATATAAAATAGGAGTGTATATTTCGTCTGCCAAGTGGTCGCACCCGTGTCTGCCCTTAGCTGATACGCGCATGACACCAGCGCGCACCCTTTAGCGAACCTTTATTTTTTATTCATTGCTAAATTTTAATTCTTACAGGTATTTCACCCCTTACAAGAAAACAAAGCAAGACAAGATGACGTGGGAACCGCAAGCCGAAGGTTTACAGCAAATAATTACAATCCTCAAGCAGTCTCAGTCTCCGGACACTGCCACTCAAATGGCAGTTCAACTGGTAAGTTACAAAGTCTGTTATAGAAATATTTGTATGTGAAAAGTAATTTTGGTATATTCATTATATTTACTACATTGTTTATGCGATTTTTTAATTTATAGAAACTGGAGGAATTGAATCAGTATCCCGATTTCAATAATTATCTTATCTATGTTTTAACTAAACTCAAAACGGAAGAGGAGCCAACACGCTCTCTAAGCGGTCTAATTTTGAAAAATAATATACGAATGCATGGAAACAACTTGCAGCCTGAAATTGTCGAATATATAAAGCATGAATGTTTACAAGCTATTGGTGATCCCTCACCGCTAATACGTGCTACTGTTGGTATATTAATAACGACTATCGCCAGCAATGGCGGTCTGCAAAATTGGCCTCAACTACTACCCTCCCTATGCGATATGCTAGATTCACAAGATTACAATGTGTGTGAAGGTGCTTTCAGTGCATTACAGAAAATATGCGAAGACTCGGCTGAAATACTTGATTCGGCAGCACTCAATCGGCCATTAAACGTTATGATACCGAAATTCCTGCAATATTTCAGTCACAATAGCCCAAAGATTCGCTCACATGCCATAGCTTGTATAAATCAATTTATTGTAAATCGATCACAAGCTTTGATGCTTCACATAGACACGTTCATTGAAAGTTTATTTAACCTATCTTCTGATGAGGATCACGAGGTAAGAAAGAATGTATGCCATGGCTTGGTTATGTTGTTGGAAGTGCGTATGGATCGTTTGTTGCCGCATATGCCACAAATTATTGAGGTGAGTAAATAAATAATTGCCAAACATTTTATAATAGTTTTAAAAAATTTGAAGCAAATGTTTGCACTTCATATATACCTTCGTACTATTGTAATAAGTATATTTTCTATATTAATTGAAATCTTAACTTTTAGTATATGTTGATACGTACTCAGGACCCAGATGAAGGTGTGGCCCTTGAAGCTTCGGAATTCTGGTTATCTCTTGCTGAGCAGAATATTTGCAAGGAAGTGTTGGCGCCATATTTGGGACAACTGGCACCTGTGTTGGTACGCGGAATGCGGTATTCTGAAATTGATATTATCCTATTAAAAGGAAATGTTGAAGAGGATGATATGGTGCCGGATCGAGAGGAGGACATACGTCCCAGATTCCATAAATCTCGTACGCATACAATCAAATCCGGTGAAACAGGTGTTGATGATGATGATGAAGACGACGTGCTAGATGACGATAGTTCCCTCTCTGAATGGAATTTACGAAAATGTAGTGCAGCCGCACTGGACGTATTAGCAAATGTCTTCCGCGAAGAATGTCTACCCATTGTTTTGCCTATCCTCAAGGATACACTGTTTCACCAGGAATGGGTTATCAAGGAGAGTGGTGTATTGGCATTAGGCGCAATTGCCGAAGGTTGCATGCAAGGAATGATACCGCATCTGCCCGAACTGATACCCTATTTGATCAGTTGTTTGTCAGATAAAAAAGCGCTAGTTCGTTCCATCACTTGTTGGACATTATCACGCTATGCTAATTGGGTTGTAAATCAGCCACATGATCAATATTTAAAACCATTAATGGAAGAATTGCTTAAGCGTATACTAGATTCCAACAAGCGCGTACAAGAGGCAGCCTGCTCTGCATTCGCTACACTTGAGGAAGAGGCTTGTACTGAACTGGTGCCATATTTAGAATATATATTGAAAACGCTAGTGTTCGCTTTTTCGAAATATCAGCATAAAAACTTGCTTATTCTATATGATGCAGTTGGCACGCTAGCCGATTCGGTTGGCCACCATCTGAATAAACCACAATATATTGACATTTTGATGCCACCATTAATAGAGAAGTGGAATTTACTTAAGGATGATGATAAGGATTTGTTTCCTCTATTGGAGTGTTTGTCAAGTATCGCCACCGCATTGCAGTCAGGATTCTTACCTTATTGCGAACCAGTTTACCAACGTTGCATATCGCTGATAGAACAAACACTGAATCAGGATATGGTGAGTTTAAGTGTACAACTTGTTAAAAAAAAACATATGTATATATATATTTTATAGGCTTGTAAAACAAATCCTGGTTTCGAGCATCCCGATAAGGAGCGCATGATTGTTGCATTAGATTTGCTATCAGGTTTGGCTGAAGGTTTAGATGGACATATTGAATCTTTAGTCGTCAAGAGTAATATAATGCAATTGCTCTATCAATGTATGCAAGATGTGCTGCCAGAGGTAAGTATAACAAAACATATGTACTCTATATTTGTAGATATATATTTATATGATTTCATGTGCTTTTTTTTATTTCGTTCTTCAGGTGCGACAATCATCGTTTGCCTTATTGGGCGACTTGACAAAAGCCTGTTTTCAACATGTGCATCCATTCATGTCCGAATTCTTTCCGATTTTGGGTCAAAATCTAAATCCTGATTACATTTCTGTATGTAATAATGCTACCTGGGCAATTGGTGAAATATGCATGAAACTAGGTTTGTTCAAAACTTAGCATCCTTTTTTTTTTTATTAATCCCATTTGTATAACTGCAATTAATGAATTTTAGGTGAGGAAACTCGACAGTACATACATCTCGTACTCAACGAACTGTTCGTGATTATAAACAGACCAAATACACCAAAAACGCTGCTCGAAAATACAGGTATGTAATTGATAAGTTGCAACTTTTATCTACAACTTTAGCTATTGTTGGTCGCATTTTTTATATACGCCTCAATTCAACTGTAACTATCTGCTCTAATAACATTTGTGAGTGCATGGCTGTTCCATGTCCGTATATACTACAACTAATACATAAAAGCACTGCGCTCTTCACACATAGTTTGGGAACAGTTGCACATTTTAATATCACCATAGTTAAAGAAAGTCTGGAAAATTTAAGTATAAGCGTATATTCGCTCTATTACTTTATGTACGCAGATACGCAGAGTCTTATTTCATTGTCATATTTTACCGCCTCAGTAGCAGTCGTATATACTAGGTATACCAAACAGACCTGAATTTTTACCCTATTAAAAACTGTTAACACATTTTATTGCTACAACACCAAAAAAATTTAATAATAAAAAAGTATACCTATGGCTTAAAGTTAGATCATTAATTACGAATGTTGCCTATTCATCACACTTCATGGCATATTTTGTACTAAACGTCAGCTAGATCAGTATGTAAATCGATAAATATAAAAAAAATAATATCGATTCATTTCAACAGTAGCTTGTTAGAAAGAAATGATTCACCGCATTTCGGTTCAGGTTCCAATCAAAAACAAAATGTATACTGGCTAACATCTAACAAGTGTTTAGCTTTATTTAACTTATTATGTTGAACGAATTGTTTACAATTGTATGTATCAATTTCGATTGCACTCAATTATATAAATCTAAAGTGTTTGTCACATGATGTTATTTCGTTTTTTTTTATTAAGTTCATTTGCCTTATGATACATGTAAGTAAGTTGTAATTCTCTTCAAAAATGTATATACATACATACAATACATATTTACGTGTAACTTAGCAGTCATTGCATTACATACATTGTATTCTTTAAGCATTGATGGTTTCAGTTGAATAGCAAAGTTTATATTTACAAAGTTAATTAACACCTGTATTAATATTGATTTAAAAACAAACAAACAAAAAAAAAAAAGATTTATGTAACTTATTTGTATAATTGTTAAACGCATATGTAATATAATTTATGATTTTCATTTATTTCTGTTTTTTCTGTTTTTTAGCAATAACAATCGGTCGTCTAGGTTATGTGTGCCCAGTTGAAGTGGCTCCTTATTTGCCAGAATTTGTACGACAGTGGTGTGTAACACTTTATATATGATTTCTATATGTTATACGATTAATTTAATTAAACCACCAACCCTGGAAAATCAATCACCCTACTACTACTATTACTTGAGCACTTCCCCATTCCCACTTAAAATTGATAATCCAATTGCTTTTTTTTAAACAAGTAATAATGAAGCAAAGTAATCCACCACACATTGCATTTACATATGTATAATTTTTCATGTAATATAAAATATTTACATTTTGTACTTAATTATAATTTGCCAAGAAAAGCGTAAGTGTTTTTTCGTTTTACGTTTGTATACAAAATAAAAATTGCTAATTATGGCTGTACTGCTGGTAGTTAAATTAAAATAATTCGGTTCATTTGATAATGACATATTTACGTGTAATTCACAATTGCATATTCATTATCTATCTATTCACACACAGGTGTACATCTCTGCGTCATATAAGAGATAATGATGAGAAGGATTCAGCATTTCGAGGAATGTGTCACATGATTACAGTGAATCCCGGTGGCGTAGTGCCAGATTTTATATTCTTCTGCGATGCAGTGGCTTCATGGGTGAATCCGCCACAAGACTTGCATCAAATGATACAAAAGGTAACAGTTGTTGTTATACATGCATATTACGGTATCCGTTATTTTCCATGTTGATTTTGTTTTTTTTTAGCAAACGACCCTTGAAATTTTATTTATTTGCCCTAAAAACAAAACTCTTATTTCTAATTTAACCCGTGCTTAAATCACTTTACTTTTCCCATTTTTTGCAATAAATTTTGTTATCTCCAAAACAAATAAACCTGCAACTTTGAAAAAATTATATTCTAATACAAAATTTTTCGCTCTACATAAAATTCCATTAAAAATTATGCGCAATTAAACTTATGCATCAAGTGTACTATTGTTTTTGTTGTTGTTGGCGGGAATTCGAGTTTACAGTCCTTGGCCGGTTAAAAATCCGGGTCCGTTCCGGTTACGTAGATCCGCTTGTCGTGGAAGCGACATCAAGTGTACTGTATTCGAACAGTACACCATGTCGTATGAGCGACACATAATGTATAAATTACTTCTATGAATGCTCAGATCATTTCATATATAAAAATAGCTGCATATAACTTTTAAAAGAGTGGTTTAACGTAAAAAATCACTAAGACCTTCTTTGCAGAGCAGAAAATTTTGTATTAGAATACCACTTCTTCAAAGTTGTACTTTTACTTCCTTAATGCAAAATAACAAAAAATCACATGTTATAAAAATGGGTAAAGTAAAATGATTTAGGCACGTTTCAAACTGAAAATAAAGAGCTTCTTTACGTTAGATCCTTGTTCAGAGGGCGTTTGCAAAAAAGAAATCAGCTTAGAAAATAAGGGACACCCCAATACACATAAATACACAAAACCACTAAAGTCACCTTTTTTACGTTTGTTTTCGTGCTTTATGTTCTTTTTTTTATTTTATTTGTTATTATTATTGATTTTGTTTTGTTTTTTACAGATATTGCATGGCTTCAAAACCCAGGTGGGTGAAGAAAATTGGCGTCGTTTCGTCGATCAATTCCCGCCAAATCTTTCCGAGCGTCTGGGCGCTATGTACAACATTTAAAGAGCAAATGTGTACTGAACATTGGGGGAATTGCTTGAAACTGGAGCAGGAGTAGAGAAAACACATAAAAGCTACCAAATTGGTACAAGACACATGAGTAGCCAAACAAAAAGGTACTGGGAGAAAAGTCAAAAAAGGGAATGGAGTTGGGGAAAAAACTACAATAGAAACGGAATCGGCTTACTGGTAAATACAACATTGCCTACTGTATCACACCAGGCAATATGGAAAGAGAAGAATTTACAAAAGCGTTTGCTTGTTATGCAGCAACAATAGATGGTTTAAAATTTTTGTCAGTCGTAAGTCCTCTTTCTCTTATATATATATATATATACATATATGTGAAAGTTGCGATATTGAGGTACTATTTTAAAAGTACACAAATCCTTTATTATAACTATATGATGCTAACCGCCATTACGCAAAAAAAAGTATTTCAATAATAAATACGTTTGAGATCGTAAATTGAAAAGCAGCAAATGTAAGAGGTTTAAGCTTGAAGAAAAGTAAAAAGAAAACAAAAAAACATTAGAAGGCAAAAATGTTTCAATCAAAACTTTTTCCTTAACTTTAACACAAATCTTACACAATCATACTAATCACAACTAATAAAATAAACAGAAAATTTTTATTGAAGAACAAAATATATATTTGTGAGCATAAATAACTTCGTATGAAAACTAACATTTATTAACATAAGCATAAAATATATCTCTTATACATACATACTTACATAATATGTATATAAAAAACAAAAATTTAGTACGACCTTATTAAAAACATTTAAATCCATCGAAACATTGAATCGTAAAATTATCATATGAAAGAAAATAGAATTCAATGTTAAAAGTTGTGTGGAAATTTTCATTTGGTTTTTAACGTATGTACTTGATTATGCTTTGAACCTTACAAATAGGCACAAACTATTTAGTAATATGCGCTAAAATTTACTAAAACATATGTTAGTAATATTATATTATTATTTTGTATATTTTTTTTTCACTACACCACTAATTTCACATTGCGTAGGATTTTCGTAGCTTAAAAAATCTTTAAAAATTGTAGGGAAAATAATTTATTTATTAATATTTCGGTCAATTTTTTGATCGACTTGAAAATACGTACATAATAATTGAAAACAAACATCCGTTCGTTTGTTCGGGTCATCGTGTCGTCGCGTCGCGTATACAAAACACTGTCGTGATATACTTAATTATTATATAATTACTAAATAAAGTACTGAATGAAAGGGTAAAGTCATTTGTGAAAATTGCATGCGAAATATACATACATGTTTAAATAGCTTATTTCTTTTTATTACTATTATTTTTATTCTATTTTTTTTTATCATTTATTTTATATCATTTATTTTATTAATTTTTTTAACTATTTTTTTACAATAATTTTTTTTTGTTAATTATCGACCAGAAGACTGAAATTTAATATATTATATATTCTCACATTAAAGACATATTGTTAATGCATTTATATTTTGTTTACAGTAATTTTCGTTTTTAAACTATAAAACTTATCAACATAAGAAGTATTTGTTCCAAAGTGTAGGTGGGTGTTGCACCGATTTCGATTTACTTGCACAAAGAATGAGCAATAAAAAAGCATTATTTTTGGGCAATAACTTGAATTAATTACATCAAGAGAGAGAAAGAGAGAGAGAGAGACAGTTTTCGAAGCAGAAGTAAATCAATTAAGATCCTATTAACAATTTTGGGTGTATTGTTCTGCATACATGCTAATATTTCTTGTGTTTTTAAGTTTATATATATAATTGTAATTAATTTTATGAAAGCTGATTGATTATAAGCATATTAAATTAAAAAATTATGTTTACTGAAAAATTTTTTCTTTTGTTGGATATTAATTTTTTTCTAAGCAATTTTGTGCGGTTAAAATTTAGATCCAAAAAAATATTCAAAAAGTCTAATTTCTTTAATTCAATTATTTTATACATATGTGAATTTATTTCTTGCCTACTGTCATTTTTTACACATGCCTTTCAAACTCTTTCATTCGTGTTGAAACATTAGCCGCGCGCGTTTCGGGTTTTATCGGTTTCGCGTTTCGCGTTTTAATCGTCGTTCGTTCGTTATATATTTCGCTCGGTTATTAACTCTTCGTCCATGGAGTATGCACGTGCATACTCCCAACTCGTCGTTGATTCGGTCGTATATCGGTTTTAGTGGTCATCCGGTTCTATAAGACTTACAACTAACGGTGCGCATTCAAATAAAATGTATGTTAACAATAGAAATGTATCACTTAAAAAAACTTAATTTTATAATGGCAATAGTATTATTATAAAAATATTTAAGTTTATTTAGTAAAATTATTAATACTAAAATATGCAATTGAAGCCAGTAATAAATTTTTTTATTTATTATTAATTCGTTTATTATATGAAATGAAGGTTTAACGGCAAACTGCAGTTAGTTTATATGAAAGAACTGTGTTGTTATACACAATTTAATTTAAATTTAATTTTTTTTTTTTTAATAACTATTAACTTTGTTTAGTTTTCAATTTGTTTTTTAAACTTTCTAATTTTTTTTTTAATCTTTTATCATAAAGAAATTAATTCTAAAATTTTAACAAATCTAGCCTACCTAAAAATTGTAATGAATACTTTGAAGACTTTTAGTAATTAGAATTTTGTGAAGATATTAACTGAAAACTTAAAAATGCATATGAAAAACTGCAAACAAACTTAAAAATATATATATATTTATTTTTTTATGAGTATAAACTTAATTGTAAAATAGTGTTGAAAAACAGAACAAAAAACATTAAACTGAAAATGTGGTAATATATTAACTAATAAATAGTAACGTTGAATGGGGGAATAGAAATAGGTCTAATCAAATAAGTCGCGTTATAATAAAAAATACTCGTTCGTCGTCGCGTTAATAACTGATATTTAAGGATCTCCGCCCCCGGATCCCAATATAAGAGAATTGCTACTAAAAATAATATAATGTAATAAAATACTAATATTTCAAAAAGTAAGAAAAAAGAAGTCGTGCTTTGTTAGAGAAGGAATTTTGTGTTTAATTGTTGGTTTCAAAATTAAAAAGCATTATAAATGAGCTATTTTGTAATGTTGTAGCATGTCACAAATTGGAATGTATGAGTGCCAAATTTGCTTAAGTATAGGTATGTTTGTAGAGCTTAGTTTTAAACCAAAGCCAAGCTTATATTTATGACTGTTGTCTTCAACGTGTCCACTATTTTGTTTTATGTTTTGTTCCAGCACACTTTGGTTAACGTTAAAAACAAATTACAAAATTCTCTCTTATACTCCTTATGCTCTCTAAGTTTAAAATATACATTAAATTTCACTGTCACTTACCTCCTTGGACAGAGCACGTACTTAACAAAACAAAACGAAATTTTTGGGCATTTAATTTTAATGACAATAGAATTTACAATAACAAAAAAAAAGAAAACAACAAAGTCTGGCATAAACCTAAACATAATCACACTGCTAAACAGGGCTGTCTCAAACGTAATAGCGCTAATGATGCTGGGGAAAACATCCACAAAAAAGTATTAAAAATTAAATGTACCAAAAATATTAACAAAAGCAAAAACAAAAAAAAACAACAGCAAACAACTACTAATTCTTAACTTAAACAAAAATTAATATAATATAACAAAATAAAACGCAAATAATCGTGATTTCGTATGTACCTAAGCCAAATTCATCGCGGAATTTGGTCGCGTTCGCGTATATATCTCGGGTGATTTTAACTTAACGGATAAGTAAAATAAACAACAAAAAGAAAATTATAATTCAAATGATAGGATTATTTGAAGACAAACCATAAAAATTTATGAATTATAAGTGAAAAATGCAAGCAAAGTGAAACAAAACCTTAAAAAAAAATTCAAGCGTATATAGGGAAATTTTCAATTTTAAGTACATACTCTTATATTAAAGGTATTTATTTCATGTATTATTACTAATGCATAAAAACTGAATGAAACTCTTAGTGTAAATGAAAAATATATGTTTGTGGCCACTCATTAGACACGTAAAAAAATAAGTTTTTTTATTTAGTTTCTTCTATGTTGTATACAACTGAATATCAATATTCTAGAAAAACAAAAAAAAAAAAACACAACAAGGCTGAGCGCGCAACGCAGCCTATAAATACATACATAAATACATATGAGTAACAAAACAGTTATTTGAATATATTGACAAAAAAAAAAAAACACAGATTGAACAATCAATAAATATTCATATCTAATATGTATATTTCAATATAATTACAATAATTGGAAAAATCGTAAATGAAACACTAAACGTATGTTCATAAATACATTACGTACATATACATATGCAGCAACCATAAAAGTATGAACTATTTGGAACATTTACTTGCAAATTAAGCGACTAAGATAATAGAAATATTTTCACGTCCTGTTCTAAATATGATTGTAATTGTTCCTAATTGTTTACTTTTGTATACACATGCAATACTATAATACACGTACATACTTAAATACATATACTATATATACTACTATCCGAATTTAAAGTAAAAACATTAAACATTTGCTAAAGCATACATATTTGAAATATATCATATAAATATTGTATAAATACTTACATACATATTCTATCTAGAACTACGCCCAAAAACAAACATACCGTTACATATGTAAGTGTGGAATAATGTCAAACGTTTTAAATGGTTTGAATGAAGCTCAGATTTAAGAAAAAAATTTAACTTTTTAATTTCAAATATTTTAAAACAAAATTTTTTTTTTAAATTTATTTTTATACAAATTTTTACAACTTTTCCGCTTGAAGTTGAAGAAAAATACGAAAAAAGTAACAATTTAAAAATAGTGCGCAACTGCAGTTATTTCAAGCGCTTAAATCTGCTAAAAACCTGAATAATATGTGTAATTAAATTTTTTTAACCTATTTCTTAACGGAAGAATTTTCAAAAAGAAATTTTTAGTAAGCAATAGTAGTTCCAACAACAACATTATGCGTTATTTTTTTTCATTAATAAACTTTAAAAGTAGTCGAATTTGGATTTTAAAAGCCGAACAATTTTTTTTTATAATTTATATTTTTTTTCAATCAAAGTATATTATTGAAATATCTTAAGACCAGTTTTTCAATTACTTAATTTGTTGTCATTTAGTTTCAGGCAATATTTAGAGTTCTCAATTTCCGTTAAGTTTTATATGCATGCAACTAAATATTCAATAGAAACACTTATCCATACATGAATACTTAAAAGTAGCATATAAATGAATATAACACAAAATATATATAGATATATAATAGATATAGTTGTATATGTGTATGCTTTAAGGTAAAGTAAAATATAAAACCTTAAACAGTAAAACTGAAACGTGTTTTATTTAGTCACAGAAAAGTTATATTTTTCGAATGTAAAATCATCGAACAGCAAGCCAACTTTTCATTTTACAACAAAAATCGGCTATACATAAGCGTAATGGATTTAGAATTGCGTCCTGTCAAGAAGTGTCACCACAGCTGCACTTTATTTCATGCTGTCACAACAACAATAAGATAATCTCTAGTGGAACGACCTGAACGGACTCCATATAAGAACTGTTTTTCTCCTTCAGTTCGTTTGGCAGCTATACGAGTATGCTATAGTGGTCCGACCCGAAAAATTTGTTCAGAGATTATAGAGTTCTCTTGAACTATAATCCGTACTAAATTTCGTAAAGATATCACGTCAATAAAAGAATTTTACATACAAGTACTGTATTCAGATGGTTCCGTTTGTTTGACAGCTAGACGAGGTCTGTTCAAAAGATAAGGTGAATTTTAAAATTTTGCGGGCTACGTACATTTGATTATCGATTTTTTTTTTGTTATGTTGGTACACTCTTCTCGAACATATGTTCACAGTTTCAGCTATATAGCATATTTATTTTGTTTGTGAGATGCATAAAAAAAAGTTAGATGTGTTCGACAATTTCTTGCTGTCAAAAAGAATTATTCAAAGAATTTGCATTCAATTTTATGTAAAAAATGGAATTAAGTGCTCAAAAACACTTGAAATGTTGTTAGTGGCATAACATATGGTTATGGTATGTTATGGTGAGTGTACTCTGAGTCAAAAAAATTTTTACAAATGGTAGAAGCTTTTCAAATAATGTAGAGGAGATGTAAATGGCGACGTTCGCGCTGGACGCCCCAGCACATCAACACAACCATGGAAATGTTGAGAAAGTGAAGAAAATTGTTATGGAGAATCGTCGAACACCAACAAAACCGTCACATGAGCATCGCTTAGGAATTGTTGATTGACGTCAACGGCGATCCAGATTTGCTTAAAAGGGTCATAACGAGTGACGAATCATGGGTACATGGTTATGACATTGAAACCAAAGTCCAATCGTCCCAATGGAAGAGCCTAGGAGAGACAAGGCCACAAAAACAAAAACTGCGAAAGCTCAAGGGCATACCAAAAAATTAATATCAGAACTGCTTCGAGGATTGGAAAAAACGCTTGGAAAAAACGCTGGCACAAGCGTATTATATCTGAGGGCTGACTACTTTGAAGGAGACAAAATATAAATTGATGATTAAATAAATATTTTTTCGAGAAAAATGAAAATTTACCTTATTTTTTGAACAGACCTCGTATGCTAGAGTGGTTCCGAGCAGCTTCTTTTGGAGAAAAGAACTTGGGCGTGTGTAGGATTCGTGGATACTTCTCATTGTAATAATACTTGGTTTTATGCTGATACCCTTGTGAATTAAAAAAAATCAATTTTTTTTATACATGTATATATATCTAATGTACATATATTTGAAAATATTCTACAAAAATTTGAAGTTGATCCGAAAAATAGTTTCGAAATTACGAGCGTATTTGTAAGAATTTTTTAACTTAGTGTAATCGGCTCCTAAAACTTTAACACGTTTTCCTCGAAACGTTGTTTTCAGATTCGGCTAGAAAACTTTTACGACCTTCTAAAATATATTTATCAGGTATTAATTTTTGATAATAATTTCGGGTATTCAAGCCATTCTGAAGTTTAATTTTTTCACAAAACACTACTTTTTTTGGAAAGCCGCCGTTTGGGCCAAAAACAAAATTTTAACTAGCCCTTCGAATATTATCTGTATCATCGATTGTAATAATAAAATTTTTGATTTCTTCCCCACTGCCGACACCTTTCTTCGGATGTCCTCCTGGAGATCGGTTACGTAATCAAGGTAATCCAGAAATTTTCAAAACGAATCGCACTTAATCCAATTTATTATATAATACTATAATATGTTATTATATTATTATACTATAATATAGTACGTATGTATGTATGTGCAGATGTATGAATTTCAGTGAGAGAGAGCTCTTATATTGAGCATGTGGTTTAGATTAAAATTTTGTAATCTATGCTAACTTCATAATTGAGTTTTCAAGGCAGTTTGTCCCGCATATAGAAAATGTACTTGCAAATTGTTTGGCGGGAATCAAGATGCATATCATATGTGCATATATTTGTAAAAATAAGCAAACAAATTTATTTAAGCACACCGGCCACTCGCTCAACGCGCTCTCAGCGTAACAACAAAACTCACAGCCCATCCATTCACCAAAACTCCATAGGGGTGAAGTCTCGCATTAGCATTTGTTCCCCACTTTAGTAGCAGTTGAGTCTTCGACGCGTGGCATTGTTTACTCGCTGGCGCGTCAATTTGAAGTTTATTTACACAATGTGTACGAATTAAACGATAATAGCAGTCTGAAGAAAGGCTTTAGCTGATTGCAATTATAATTGTTTGTTATTAATAAAAACATTTACATAATAAATATATACAGTATACAACATATCTATCATCTGTATATGTATGTATGTGTAATTTAAGTAAAATATGTAATTTTATTGAAGCCGAACTGCTGGCATAACAACTTGGGTGACTTGAAAAAAAACTTGATAAGCAACAAAGAAGATAAGTGATACAGTAACAAAAATACAAATATACATACAAACGAAGCGTTATAGGTATATGTATTGTTATGTGTTTATAAATGCATATAGATGCTATCAATTTAATTTAAAGTAGACAATCAAGGTACTATCCGTTGATGTAAGAGCCGTTGTAGCTGAAATTATTTTATTATTCTCTATTGGAATCGCGAAAAATCTACGATTTATAAGTGTCAATGTGAAAATAGTTTACTTTTAATCACTTAATATGGTTCATATAGCTACTTTGGATGTGGGCACCACAACGGTGCGTTGCTTTATTACAAATGATAACTGTGAGGTTCTGGGCACCGCCACTGAAAGGGTATGTAAATAAGTAATGCATTCGATTTTGCACTTGTTTTATAATAACAAACACCAGAATTTATGTACATAAATATGTATGTGGAATAGTTTGTAGGCAGAGATACTTACATATATTAAAATTGTTTAACTACGTTTGTGTACACAGGTTGATTTGTTAAACCCTCAACCGGGCTACTTTGAAATCGAACCAGAGTCGCTGTGGGCAAAGATCGTCGCGGTAATTAATAATGCAGTGAGACGTAAGTGTAGCTTTCAAATGTGAATTTAATTACTAGTAAATATATAATGAATATATTCATATAACTAAATTGTAAATATACATCGATACATAAGTACACACATACATACATTCCATATATGTACACATTAAAAAAATTATGATAAAAAACGTTAACTTCGGCTGCTGTAATAAATAACCTCTGCAAGTCCATTGGTTATAGCATAAAAGGGTATAAAAAGATATTTAACTTAACTTCGATAGATCGGTTTGTAAGACAGTTATATGCTATAGTAATCCGATCTGAACAATATGTTCGAAGATTTTAGCGCTACCTTGGAAAATAATCTAAGCCAAATTATGTAAAGATATCTTGTCAAATAAAAAAAGTTTTCCATACAAGGAATTGAATTGGATCGGTCAGTCTGTATGAAAGCTGTAGTGATCCGTTCTGAACAATTTGTTCATAGGTATATTGTAGTATTTACTTCAACAAAAATGTATGCCAAATTTCGTGAAAATAATTTCTTAAAAAAAACCAGATTTCCATATATGCTATTATGCGTATAAAAATTTCATAGGGTCTCCTTAGGGGTATTATAAACTTCGTGGCAAACTTAATATCGCCTGTTCTGGGTACAAAAATATTAGCAGAAAAAAATTAATTAGTTCAGTTCAAGCCGAAATGAAATGGAGAAAGATACGTTGTTGTACTATATATTGCTGATTTTACTATCCGTCAATTTAATCCAAACCAAACATTAACACTCTACAAATAAATAATATTCTACTGGTAAAAAGTTTTAGGGACTATCAATATACTATAAAAAATCCCCATTACTCTCGGCCAAATACCCTATTAAAAAGGGTTCTTGTAAATTATTTGTAATTATTCTTATATATTGTACGAAAATTAATGAATAATAATACAAATTATTTCTTGATTACACTTTGATCTCACAGAAGCCCATTTAAAGCCCTCCGACATTAATTCATTTGGCTTGTCGACACAACGCTGCACATTCCTTACTTGGAATCATGAGACTCAAGAGTACTATAGTAACTTCATTACGTGGAAGGATTTACGAGCAAATGCTTTGGTGGACCAATGGAATGCTGGACTTGTGATTAAGACATTAAATACAGTTTCCTATGCACTCTATTTGATAACGCGAAGCAATCGATTTTTGGCGGCGAGCGTTTTGAAAATGATGAATTCACAGGTAATAAAACCAGTGATATACTAGCTAAACTTATTTAGTAAATACTTGTATGTGTGCAACAACACCTAGAAGATGTTGCTTAGTTCTTTATTGGAATATGAGGTCTTTTGGAAAGCTTCGAACTCTTTTAGAGATAAAGCCTTTATGTCATTAAATATTCCAAAAACTATCACTAAAGAATAGGGATTTATGAAGCCGATGGAAAATAACAACGTTCAGGCGGCTGTCGGGTCTACGTAACCGGAATGGACGTGGATTTTTATCAGACGAAGGACTGTCATCTCGGCAGCATACCTCCTAATTACTTCAGGAATGTTTTCGGTCGAAACAGAAACACGCTAAATAAGAAGTCCATTATTGCTGCTATCACATTTAGAATTCAAAATATATTTAAACAACTTGACTTTAATTTAAGCTAGACTCAACATTTCTGACTTTTACAACTTGTTTAGGTCACAACAAGACTTCTACATGAGGTACAGACCAACACACGACTTCGGGAAGCACTGCGTCGCAAAGAAGCACGAGTGGAACTATTGGATTCCTGGATACTCTATAAATTGCGGTTAGAAAAACTTGTGAACTTCAATTAATAATGATTTCTAAAATTTGCTTTTGATCAATGTTTTGTAGATCGGGTAATGGCTTACAAACAAATATCGATCATATCAGCGATATAACTTCAGCAACAGCCACGGCTCTATTTGACCCATTTACGCTTTGCTGGACGCCGCTTGCAAAGTTTCTCTCCGGAATTGAGGTTATTTTTATCAATATATATTGTACATATATTCTCTCAAACTTTCCCAAACTCATGACTCAGTGACTCTCTACTTTTTTATAAATTATGAAATATGGATTTTATTCTATTTTATGTACGTTTGTGTTTCAGTCTGCGTTGCTTCCTAAAGTTGTGGACAATGGCTACAACGGTTTTGGCCATATACATCCAAGTGCCTTAGGAACCGAATGGAATAACACCTGCATATCTATAAGCGCCTCCATCAGTGATCAAACGGCCGCCATGTGGGGCTCACAATGTTTTGAACGCGGTGATGTAAAGATAACATTGGGCACGGGCGCTTTTCTCAATCTAATCACTGGCAGTAATTGTCATGCCTCCGTAATGGGTTTGTATCCGTTGGTCGCTTGGCAATTCAGTGATGCAAAAGAAGAAGCCCGCACAGTTTACTGCGTTGAGGGTGCATCACACGACATCGGTACTGTTATAGAATGGGCAAAGCAATGTGGTCTTTTTAACGATCCAATGGAAACTTCAAATATTGCTCAAACAGTTCCAGATACGAATGGTGTTTATTTTATACCTGCCTTCAGCGGTTTGGGAGTGAGTTTTAGCGTTTTGTTAGTTATGTGTTATTGATAAATAATGGATATTCTTCCAGCCTCCTATAAATAATCCAACAGCGGCAACGGGTTTTATTGGTATTACATTGTCTACGACGCGTGCCCATTTGGTGCGTGCCATATTGGAGAGTATTGTTTTCCGTACCGTGCAATTATGTGAAACTGCGAAAGCGGAAAGCAAATACAATTTGAAACTTCTGAGGTAAACATATATACATAATACTTAAAACTTTCTTATAAATTCATGCTTCATTCTCTTTTATGGGCTGTCACTTGCTACTTCAGAGTCGATGGCGGCGTATCACGTAACGACTTTGTTTGTCAACTTTTAGCGGATGCTACAGGAATATGCGTTGAGCGCGCAACCTCAATTGAATCCAGTATATTGGGCGCGACCTACATGGCTGGATATAATATAGGTCTATGGAATAGTTTTGCCAATCTACATAAACTTCGTCAAATCGAACACACTTTTGAACCACAACCGCAATATCACTTGGCGATTAGAGAACGTATGAGAGATTGGATGAAGGCGATAAAACGTTTTGAAAATTGGTATTAAAAATTAAAAATAAATTGCAGCAGCCAAGAGAAATGTTAAATTTATTTTTACTAAAGACTAAAGTATTTAAGTAATTAGGAGTTTTAATAGAGAGTCTTAAACACAAACATATATTTAAGTAAAAATTATTATAGAAAACATTGTAACAAATCAGACCGCAACCAAGCATTGTTTAGTTGCTTTATGCTGTACCAGACTGAATATGGATGTTTCACATTATTTATATGTATATTTATACCCTTATCAGGCTATATTAAGTTTGCCTCGAAAATTTTAACACTCTGTCGGAGACCCTATAAAAGATATATATACAATATAAATTATCAACTAAGTTGTCACATACAGAGCCGCAACAAGATCCTCAAGTCGCTGGCCATCAGCAGTTGGAGCCAAGACACAGAGACGTTGTTGGCAACATACAAGGCAATCGGCCGGTCGGTCATCAACTATGCTGCTCCAATATGGTCGCCTGGATGCAGCAGGATGCAGATAGAGAAGATACAGACCTGACAGAGCACAGGATATAACAGGATGTCTCCAATCGAGCATCTACATAGTGAGACCCGCGTGCTTCCTGTAAAGAAACAACATACTTCTCAACAAAAAAATTCTGCTCTGGTGTTTTCGCAGAAACTATACCTGCAGTATCTTGCTTGTAGCGGAGCTGCCTCCTAGCAACCCGTTAGATGACCTCGACGACAACCAAACTATTACTTGTCATCCAAGCGGGGACTAGATAACCGTTACAATAACAACAACAACGCACTGAACACCATTCACAGCGGAACTATTAAGAGCTTCATTGACTCCCCCCAGAGAATGGCATAATTGGAGTTCAAACACCACCTATTGCAGAACAAGATATCGTGTAGCCGTGTGAAACCAGAGTAACCCAAACGCAACTTCGCTTCGGGTATTGTAGCAAGTTAAACTTCTACTTATCAGACTAGACCCCGACATACAAAACCTGCATATGTCCTGCATGCAACAAGTCCCCGCACGACACTTAATGAATCCAACTCACTTAACACCCCTCTCCCTACGTTAAGTGATGTTGATGACAGTTAATTTATTGCTTTCCCATTAGCATGGTCTGGGTAATCGTTAAATACAAACATAACGCATTGTGTCTAATTTTCTTAACATATTTTTTTTATTTTTATATATTTTTTTCGTAACTTCAAAACAAATTATATTTATTTTTATTTAAGTAAATTAGCAAACGCCATTATTCATATACATAAATATGTATATTCCATTACGAATCTTTATTGCTTAGCATGTTTGTGGCCCTTGAAGAGGCACATATGCAATTAATGATTTGTTAAATTTTTAAGATTCGTAGAAAAAAATTAAATGCTTTTTGATACACGTAACTTTGTTTGAAAATACATAAATTAATATGCAATATTGAATTAACTCAATTATAAAAACAAATTGTAACGAAACTCAATTCTTGTTCTTAATGACCACTCAAATCGGCGTTAAACTTTCACAGGGAAAGCACATAACATCGGCTCCATATATACCTGAGTATATAAGTATACGAATGCTACGAAAAGGCAATGCAGTCTCAGTTCCATCCAAATCGTAACATTTTTCGCTCACGATTCCTTGCTGTTTATTTCCGTATGCGTGAAATCGCTTAAGCTCGAATTAATTAACGTTTTCGTTTCAAGTTCCGATGTAGGATCGATTTTTATAAATTCTTGAATTTCATTCAGTACTTGTGGTTTTTCCGAATCTGGTTGCAACTGCACTTTATCGTCAGGCTCTTGTACTACCATTTCATTAAGTTGTTCGCGGGCAAGTTCGGCAATAGCAGCACGTGCTTCCAGTTTTTTACGTTTGCTTTCCAACTTCTCACGCTCCTGCATCTCTAACTCTTCACGGGCTTCATACACGCTTGACGGTATAACGGGCGGTGGTTTACTCATATGAATTTTCATGTGTCGCTTCAATGCCACATACTGGATGAAACGCTTGCCACAATTGCTACACTCATGTGGCTTTTCGCCGGTGTGCGTCATTTCATGGTGTTTGAGTGTTTGTGCTTTTGCAAAACGTTTGTGACAGAAACGGCAAGCAAAATCTTTAACACCTTCGTGTACAATGCGATGATGTCGTTTAAGATTTCCTTGACCGTTGAAGCCTTGACCACAATCCGGACATATGTAAGGACCTTCCTTCATCATAAAATTTATTTGTGGCGACCAAGACGGCACAGCGACAGATGGTATAGGATTAACAGCAGTGCCTGCCAATTCCGATATATCAACGCGTTCAACACGTCGTGGATTTTTCGGTATTGTAGCGGTAGATTCAGCACAAACTTTTAATATCTCTTCTGCTACTTTTTGGTGAGATTCTTGGGTGTGTGATTCCGTGGATAGCAATTCGGGAAGAGGTATGTCGGGCGTGTCGGCCGGCATAAAACCGTTTTCTATTTGTCGTTTACGGTATACTTCAATGGCACGTAATACACGCTTCTCATGTGTCTTAAGATGTTTTGTTAAAGCTTTGGCATAAAGAAACCGCTTCCCGCATACTTTGCACTCACAACGCTTTTCCCCGGTATGCGTCATTTCATGCATTTTACAAGCGTTCGACTTACCAAATGTCTTACCACAGTACTGACAAGCGTAATCCTTGATTTTTTCATGCACAATTTTAACATGCATTCGCAAATTTTGCTTATTATGTGATGCATATGCACACTGTGGACAATTGAATTTCTTTTCTTGTGTGTGCGTGTTTATGTGAGTGTTCCATTCTTGTCTCGTAGTTTTTCCAACACCACAGTAGGGGCAAACGTAGTTTTTAATTCCGGCATGTCTCATTAGATGATCTTTAAGTGCACTATTTATTACGAAACGTTTACCACATATGTTACAAGGGAATGGCAGCTCTTTGCCATCATGTTTATACATATGTTTTTTGAGTGCCATGGGGCAACGAAAGATTTTATCACATTGATTACAGGTATAACATTTGGCTTCCCGCAATTCTTTCGCTATTTTATGCACCTTGCGCAAGTGCCAATTAAGTAAACGTGTCCGGGGAAACGTGCGACCACAACCTTCTTCGGGACATGGAAAGCTTTCACATGTCTCCGCGTGACAATGTTCCATATGTAGTCGGAGTCCATTAGCTGTAGTAAATCCCTTCGAACATGATTCAACTGTACATTGGTGAGGTAACTTATCATTGTGATGTCGCATATGCTCTTCATATCTTTCTGGTTTTCTGAATCTTTTTTGACAAATGTGGCACTCTATAGTATTGGCTGATGAGTCCTCACCTTCCACTCGAGAACGTCGTTTTCGTTTAATCTTTTTCTTTTTAATTGGCTCCTCGTAATCATCCGCTTCAAGTCCATCATCGATTATATTGTCACCTCGTAGTGCTCTTTTGGATCTCCGAGACTTCCGTAAACGAGCAGCCAATGGTTTTTCATCATCACTCTCATCACTAATTTTATCATCCCCACATTCGTCGTTTAACGGTTCATAGTCAGAATCATCAATATCATGGAAATCGGAATTATCACTGTTTACATTTTTTTCGTTTGTTATACTTATATCATTAAAAGAAACTTCGGGTTTAATGTCAACCACATTATCAATAACTTCCTTGTCAACGTTTTCCAACATTTTAAAAACATCCTCTGCATTGTCTATAATTTCTAATTTATGATTTAAGAGTGGATCAAAATCTGTAGGCTCATCATCCTCAATAGCGGCATTTTGTGTATCTATGTCACCTGTTTCCAACACAGCCAGAACAATAGCTTGATCTTTAATTAAATTTTTAGCTACCATTTCCTGAAACTTTGCTACAGACTCTACACACAATTTTAAAAAATCTTGCATATCATTTAAACGAGTATAACAAACTCCACATATATTCCGTGGAAATCCATCGTGGAGCTCCACCGATAACGATGTACAAACACCTAACTTTTTGGCTAATCCGGGGATAGCAAATAGATCGTACGTATTTCCATGTTGCAGCTGTTCCAAACATATTCGACAAAGCGCATTTATACTGTATTGAGCTTCGTTACTCATTTCAATTGATTATTATCTCCTAGTTTACATTTATTTACAATCTATGAACAATATTAAATCAGTCTGAAAATGCTTCAGCTGTCAATGAATTTCCCCAATAGCATAGATCGTGGTTGCCACACTGGTATGAACTTAAACTTGAATCTTAATTGTGAAAGGCACTGCAAACATTGGAAATAATTTTTCTCAAATCTATATACTATATATATACTGACAAACACTTTAAATATATAAACATAGGAAATTGTTAAATGGTCCATTATCCTGACTGTATGTAAAAAGATATAAACATATAAATATATCATATCTTCGGCTTTTGAGACGTTTAATGTCTCCTAAAATGACGTCAATATGTATGCTAAATTAATAGGACCATAAAATTCGATTTTACATTTATTGCTTGTTATTATTAATGATGTTATGATGATGTTTGGAATCAATTAGTATGATTTGTATGAATGATGATGATTGCAGATGATATTGTGAAGACAAAGTATATTAAAAAGTTTTGATGGGCATAAGATGATACCAATGAGTTATGCCACATCAGTTTTAAAATAATTTTAAACAATGTAATAAAATAAATGCCTTCTAAGCAAAAATAATATTTATGTTATAAATTAAATTTCATATTTTGAAGAAATCCATGTGAAAGAGTCACAATATTAAATCAAAAATGTTATAGAAACTTTTATGATTTACGATATAAAGATCAACTCAATTCCCTCCCACAATCTCCTCAAGGTCAGGACCTAAGGCGCCTCTGGAGTCTTTAGGTTATATTTTGATTTAATATTATTAAGTTCTTCTTGTTTTTTATCCACATCGAGACGTTTAAATGCCTTATTAGATTGGTAGTACAAGACAACAAGATAACGATTACACACATTAAAGCCAGATAAATGGTCACAAGCGTTCTTGGCGTCAAAAATATCTTCGTAGACAACAAAGGCCGTTCCTCTCGTCTCAGGTGTGTTACCACTGAAAAACCCATAGTTAACAATGTGCAATTTGACTTTATACCAAAATGTTTAATACACTTACACTCTAATTTGTCTTATTGCTCCAAATTTGCCAAAAATGTCATACATTTCATCCGATGTGATTTTATAAGGCAAATTTCGCACGTATAGCAGACGATTTACTTCAGGAGGTAAGCGAATCTGCAATCACACAAATACTTAGTACAGAAATTGCTCGAAGTGGAATTTTATTATTAATAATTTAGTCATTAGACTCACATTGTTGCGTTTATTCATTGTTACAGCAAAAATTTACAGTGGCCCTTTACACGAGATGCTTAGCAAAACGATGCTGAGTTTAAAGTGAATGTCCTGTGTTTTATCCTTTATATCGCTTCACTTTCCCCTTGCTATTTGCGACAAGCAATACAAAGACACTTTTGTCTGCAAATATTAGTCCTTTTCCTCAAACTTTACCAAATTTATATTTTGGATTGAGCTCACGTTTGCTTTGTGTATTTGAGCGTTGCCAGATACAAAAAAACATTTACGAATAATGCCGGATGTACACTGAATATTTACTTTATTAATATAATAAGCAAATTTTGTTTAGAAATTTAACCTAGAGTACAATTTATTAATTCAACGTGAATTGAACGCATAAAAGTATATAAATTCAACATTCTGATTTGTTAATATATTTTTTAAGACTTTTCGACTTTTGTATAACGGGGCTGCCCTTCGATATTCCTAAGTATTTATTTATATATATGTATATGTATAATAAAAGATTAAACATTCATAACAAAAAAAACTAAATTATCCCAATGTTATAAATTTATTCCTCTTATTTCATTTGGATTTGGTACTGTAGTGTGCTTACTCAAACATTCAGTTGTTGTTGTAACCATTCTCAAAAGTCTTGTGCTGATACTGCTTGATCTCATCATTAATACTTACTTTATATTAATATACACACATACATACATATTTAGTACCGTAGCATAAACATTTGGAAGCCCTACTTCTTTACTTTTTTATACAAAGCAAAGTTTATAGGTTATCAAATATTATTGAGAGATACTGAAATCTCTACATATTTTGACTTCCCTTCACAATAAAGAAACATGCGCACATCTTTTAATATGTATGTATATCCAATACAATATATTTAAACATTTAATGCAGACATCTTTGTAAGCGAGTTGGTATATATGTACATATATTCATATCAACTTTAAATTCAAACTTTTGGAATTAATATTTAATATTATCTATAAGTTGCGATCTGTTAATCGATAAATATATACATGTTCATATGTATGTACGTTTGTATCATACGCCTATTTCCCTAACGTTCACGAGTCGAATTTTGACGCTTTTCCACAAACATGCCAATATTCAGTTCCTCTCAGCTTCTACCAATTGTGTAACACCATCCTTAGTTATCAGTTGTACTAGAGCTCCAGAATTTGGTCGCTCCTTGCCTTGAGTCCATTTATGGAAAAGCCTATAATACACACCAACAAAAATTTAGTTAAAAAAGGTCCAATGGTTGTGTCATATGACCTACCCGGCAACTTCACTTAAAGGAGTCCATGTACCAAAATCTGCCTTCGGCATCCATTTGCGATTCATTGGTGTATCCAAAGTAACTGGCAATATCGCAACCGCAATGGCATCAGTTGGTAAACCAGAATTTTTCCCAGCCAGCGAACGTGTTAGCTGATGGACAGCAGCCTTGGCCATGCCATAACCGATCATGCCGGATGTGCCTTGTAAAGCTGGTTGCGCGCCCGTGAGGGTTAATAAACCGCCATCTTTTAGGTATTTGGATGCTACTGCAGCCGAATTAGTTGATGTCCAAACACTTTGGCGCCACATTAAATCAGTATTTTTAGCCAAATCTAAGTAGCATATCACATATATGTATGTACCAAAGGATGTCACGAAATTTTTGCATAAGATTACTTACCTTTGGAGGCATTCCCACCCGCCCAGCCACCTGCAACACAAATTACAGCATCCAATTTTTCACCGCTTAAAGCGTCACCGACCTTTGTTAACACTTCAGCTTCTTGTTGCTCCCAACTAAGCTCACGAGGTAATACGATACTTGCATCCGCTTCCTCATTCACGCTGAGATCAATACTACCCACCCACTGCAAATAAAATAATTATTTCATCAATCAAATCAAGTTCTTAAAAGGAAAAATATTAAAAGCATTTGATACACACGTAGTTGTTCGATTTGAAGTGGGAAACACAGGCAGAGCCCAAAGCGCCTTTGCCGCCGTAGACCAGTACTCGACCGACCATGTTGATACACTGTTTTACTGAATTCGCCACTGTGATCGAACACCGAAAGAATAAAATTACAAGTAAAAATCAGAAACTGATGACGATTGTTTGTGTATCAGTAAATACCCTACGATTTAGATTGTAGTGAGTGGTGATTTGTTGGGGTTAGGAGCGTGGAAAGGAAAACAACACTTGTTAGATTTTTAAGCAAATACTAGTTTTTCTACTTTTTGCAACGTATTACTCGTACTACTGCAGTTGTTTCATATACATATGCATTTATATTTGTTGTTGTCGTTTTGTGCGTATACGTGTTGCCTTTGTATTAAACAGAAGGCAATGGCCCTGTAAAGAATGAAAGTTACTTGATTTTGTCCATAATAAGTACATTCATAAGTATAAAAAAATACAAGCTTAAAACAAATAATTGTAATTTTTTCGCGACATTGAAGTTTTGCTATGTTAATAATTATTAATAAATTACTTTTATTTTGCTCTGCATAATTATATGTTGATTTTGTTGCCATGTACATTAGTCGGTTTTTAGACTATGCAGCTTTGAATTTTTATCTAAACATGCCCTCAGTGACTAATGGGTATTCCGTATTTAATATGCACATATACATATATATATATATATAAACACTTATTTCTTTATAATTATGGCTTTATTACAAATACGTAAAATTTCGTATTAAGTTCAATTTGCTATTCAGGTTTTTTTGATATTTTCGGATGACTTTATTTTATAACTGACATCGTTTATTAAAATATTACAACAGGATTTCCCGGATGTTATAGAAATGCATAGGTACTAAAGAAATAAATTATGCTATTGATTACAAAGGATGTAAAAATATCTACTAAATTTATATAATATAATCAATATTATATATGAAATGAAAAAAGATCAAGAACAAATTGACGCTCCGAAGCTATAATACCTTTGACAGGTGCATTTCTTATAGGAAAAGGATATAAAAATATCTTTATATTGATATTGAACGGTCAGTTTGTATGAAAGCTATATGCTACGGTAAATCGATCTGATCAATTTGTATTGCAGCTATATGCTATAATTGTCCGATATCGGTGATTCCTACAAACTACTCAGCTTTGTGGTGAGAAAATTACGTGCGTTTGAGTGTATACAGATGGCTAAACCGTCAGCCCAGCTCGTCACGCTGATCACTTACATACTTATGTACATACTTTCAACAGTCTCCGACGTTTCCTTTTGGGTGTAACAAACATCGAGGCAAGTTTAATATACCTTTTCAGGGTATAATAAAACTGGTATCACTCATGTAAATGCTCACAAAGTAACAACATAATCCTACACAAATATTTATGTATATATTGCTTTCTACAAAATGTTGTAATGTGGGCCCGGTAAAAAATCGATGGAATTCACCATTCAATAATAAAAAAAAACCATATGAATTAAACATGAACTATTTAAATAAAGCACACCTCTTTTTGTTAACAAGATATACCTTTCACAAATGTACTGGATATAAACTTCAATTTTATTAATGGCAAAATTTGCAACATATACCTTTTAGCAAATTCACACGACTGTTGATTGTCCAGCTGATAAAATATAATTTCTGCCCTGCCAGACTGGTTTAATTTTTAAGTATAACGCTATGAAGTAATTTAAAAAAAAAAAATATTTTTTGAGTTGACTGTTGTGAAAACTTTTGCCTCTGTCTTGAACTCTACTAATTAAATAACAAAAAAAATGTATAACATTAATAATTACGAATGATAACACAGTTACCATGTCTCATATTTAGTTATGTTGTAAGCACGTTATTGCCATCTTGATAAAGAATAAACAAAAATGCAAGTTGACAGTCAGTTCTGCCAACCTCCAATTCGCCTCATCATTTATTTCATTACTTCAATAAAAAATATTATAAAAGCCCGTGTTCGTGTCAATTTTTCGGTTTCGCGTAATTGTTTAATTTCTTTGTTTTTAATAATAACATAATCAGTGTTTATGTTTTGTTATGTTTATAGTTAGATTCGTCTTATAATGTAAATGATAAATCAAAGACACTTGTAAAGAAAATGAATTGACGATCAAAATCTTTTAAAATACACAAGGTGAATTGGAGTGAAGTGTTTGCCGTTGTGTAGCATGAAAAATATAACAGCGGTGTATAACCTTTGTGAACTTTCGAAACCTAACTGATCCAAAATATTGCATGCGATATTAAGTGTTAAGTTGTCACAAAAGGTTATTTAAATTTGCTACTGGTAATTTGTGGATTTGGGGTGTAGTGCAATGTTTACTGAAGCTCTGCAGTATTCCTGCGATCTATATACTGCAGAAAAGATTAAAAGAAGCCATGGAACGTCGTGTTAAGCTTAAGACCATAAATCCGCACATAACGTGCAAGATCTGTGGTGGTTACTTTATTGATGCCACAACCGTCACGGAGTGTTTACATACATGTTAGTAATAATATCAAATACATGTATATCTGTACCTTAGATTAATTTAATTTAAAATTGTAGTTTGTAAAAGTTGTTTGGTCAAACATTTGGAAGAAAAGAAAACCTGTCCCACTTGCGATATGGTCATCCATCAGTCACACCCACTGCAGTACATCAGCTTTGATCGAACCATGCAGGATATTGTTTATAAGTTGGTACCCAATCTACAAGAAGGTAAGATTTCCAAACAATTAAAAATGCAAAGAAATTGCTATGAAATAAAGTGTTGTCATTTGTAATGTAGATGAAATGAGAAGAGAACGAGATTTTTATAAAAGTCGAAACATTCCCTGCCCAAAAGATATGCCGCAGAATCATGATGATGATGAGAAAATGCTCGAAGCACATGCAGAATCTGATTTCCATCGTCTAGACGAGCAGGTGAACGTAAGCCTCGAATGTATGAGCAATAATTTTAAAAATTTGCAGCGACGTTTTATACGCTGCAGCTCACAAGCCACTATAACGCATTTGAAAAAATTGGTTGCCAAGAAAATTTTGAATGGCATTGACAAATATCGAGAGGTAATACCTTTTGCAAAAATATTGTGTTAAAAAAATTATCATAAATGTTTATTGATAGTTTTGTAGTAAAAAAAAAAAGATGATTTTTTCAACAATTTCTTAATTTTTAGATCGACATACTGTGCAATGAAGAATTACTAGGCAAAGATCATACGCTAAAGTTTGTGTATGTGACGCGTTGGCGTTTTAGAGATCCACCCCTGCGCTTACAGTTTCGACCGCGAGTTGATCTGGTATGAAGGCTTTTAAAACATACGTGAAACAGAAATTTGTACGAAAACCAATGTTAAGTGAAATCAAAAGTGAATACCAACGCAACAGTTTAATTTTTTAATTAACGATAACAAAGATATATATATATACACATATATATAAATTAGACAAAAACAGAAACGCTAGTTTTGTAAAAAAGTTTAAAATTCAAAGTGAATTTCAGCCGTAAGATAGAAAAATCGAAATAAGTATTGTAATATATTTACAACCGGAGGTTAGAAGAGTTTCATGCATACATATGTGTATAAAATGATTAAGTGTAATAAAAAGCGAAAGTAATGTATTTAGAACAAATTGCAAACACTATTAACGGTGGCAAAACTTCCTTTTGACATATGTATGTTACGTATGTGTTTATATTGTAGTGCACTAAATTTTTTGCTCTTGATCTAGATATTGTCTCAACAAATTTCTACAGCTCTTGAGTAGAGTACTTTTGAAGCTGGAATTTTCACCAATACGAAATTATTATTTAGCATTGCAAAATATATAGAAACATTTTGTGACTTCCTACCTTTCAATTAATGTTCTCATTTTAAATAATTAGTTTCTTATAAGAAATTTTATAGTAAGATATAACTCCTCCTATACTAGTGTATTTATTTAATATTTTTCAAATCAAAATATCAAACATGCTGTTCTCTACATATTTTATTTATTATTATATTATATGATGATCTTATTTTATATTTCTATAGTTCTGTAATTTTTATCAAAAGATCGAAAACAATATCAAATAATCATAATTGCTCTATTCACATATATAAATATATATATATTTGTAAATAAAAGAAAATTAAAAAGAAGAATTAGTGCATTTCTAAATTGTCTACTTGCTCTCCAATTGGAAATAATTATAATTAAAAATGTTATCACGAATGCGACAATTATTTTTTTACTCCTTGAATTTAAATTTCGATTGACAGAATGTAAATTTGAAAATTAAATTCTATTTGTTCACAATTTCACACCAGAAGTTGATAACATTTTAACTATAACTATCAAATGTAGTGCACTAAATATATTATTCAAATTTAATCAACATTTATCAGTCACAATTTATAAATTTTTTGATCGAAAATTGGGTCGCCAAGGGCGTGATGCACCATATTGTGAAGGTAATCTATAACCAGGTCCACCGTAACGTATGGGTTGCGGAGGTAATCCATATGGTGGCATTGGGTGCCGCAATGGTGGTAAGACAGCAGGCAAAAATGTAGGCATAGGATAAGGGGGAGCTCCATACCGTGACGGTTGCGGTGACCACTGCGTTGGAGTCGGCCAGGTTGGCTACAAAATCGAAAAAAAATTGTTCTTAATTATGACGAATATTGTTCACAGCTATGGACAAATAACTGTATTTCAGTTGCAAATACTACAAAATCGAAACAAATTAAGCTGAAATAGCTATTAGGAAGATGTCACGTACATATGTATATATAATATTATATAACTTAACCATAATCAACTTACATAACCATAATTCATAAAATCCGCAGGAACCGGCACGGGTATGGTTATGATTTGCGGTTGCGGCATATTTCTTTCGTCATTCCCATTCTTTTCGTCATTATCATTATGACGATATCTATGGCGTTCGCTACTTTGTGTACCTATGCGCGACGAACGTTCACGTGAACGAGTGCGTGATCTTGAATTTGTGCGAGAACTTCGGTGTCTACGCAAATTTTTAGCACGATCTTTTGATGTATGTTGATAGTGGTGGCTCGGTGTCCCACCCAAATCCTTATCTGTACGTGATTTTTCTGTTTCCCGTTCCCGTTTACTATTGTTACCCATATAACGATCCACTGAAATTGAACGACGAAAATAAGTTCTGCGTGTTTGTGAACGTTGTTTAGTTTTCATTGAATCTCGAGAGTGCGATCGTGAGCGTGACTTTGAAATACTACGTCTGCGTCGAAATTTGGATGACGCTGGAGGCGATTTATTTTTAGTCGATCCATATTTACGTCGAATTCTGTCTTGCTCCCTCACTTCGTCTACAAAATATGGAATTTTTTCAGGAATCCTGCGGTGACGATTTGGTGGTGGCGATACGTCACGTCGAACTGCATATTTGCCATCACTAGTAGGTTTCGCTGTTTTCGTGCGTCGCGTGGTATTATTGCTGGATCCAATTTCACTCTCATTCTTTTGGCTAGTGTGATATTTTCGATAACGCTCTGGACTACTGGAATCCTTTTTAAATTGAGTTTGAAAAATTTGAAGTTTTAAAACTTTATACTTGATTAAGATTTACATATTATATTTTACTTACAGTCGAAATGTGACGTTCTTTTCGCCGTCGATTGGAAATATCCTCTGTGTTGTTTCTAGTTTCGGCTTGAATTTGCTTGTCGTTTTGAGCATCTGCGGTATTTGTAACACTCTCTGGATTCACCACGATATCATCTCTTTGAAACAAAGGCTTTGAACCTTCACCTGTGAACACGATTAATGCCAAAATTAGTGATATATAAAAAAGCAATTTGATTTGTATATCAACAATTTTCCATTGCAGCTTTCAGCATTTTGTGTTGAATAATTAGGAATATATTTTTTTACAATGCTAATTATTTAATTTTTACTCCACGAAATATTTTTAATTTAATAATTAATTTTTATCTTTTTGATAAATTAAGATGATAATAGGTAAGAACTTTGAACAGTATTGTTGAAAAGATTAAACAAAATTTTAAACATCATCTTCCAAACGTTAAAGTAAATTAAAGCGAGAAGTTCAAATTTCCAATAAACCGTAAGTACTTATTAAATTAACTTTCAATTGTTATGACGTATTATGTTATTGTATATGAAGTTCTATTTCTATTTACATCATTTAATATGTTTGAGTTGATTGTTGTAATCCGCATGTGTCAGAAGATATCAATTGCCAAGTTTTCCCGAGTTCATGGAATGTTGATTGTTGTTTGAGTTGCTCTGTTGTTGTTGTAGGGAGTTTGATTTGTTGATTGTAGTATTTTGCTTTTTCTTATGGCTAGAAAAGAATTTTATTTATTTAATATAATATGCAATGTTATCGTTCTATCCTTGCCTTTGCACTTACAATGAACCAGTGAGTGTCATTCTCACAAATGTTTAAAGTTTTGAATTAACAAAGTTATCCAGTGTTAAAAAATTATTTTATATATCCGATTCAACTGTCAAGACACTTTGAAAGTATTGTAGATATATAATGATGTTTATTGAAAACGACCTAACCTTAACATTGCAAAATAATATGTAAAAAGAACAAAAAATAGGACACAAAATATACTGCACAAACTTACGCATAATACATAAGGACTAAGTTTTCAATACTTTTAGATACTAACACTGCACACTATAAAAAACTGTTAAGTTGTTTTTAAAAGCTTTAGAGAAAAATATTATACTGTACCCTTCTTTCGAGCTTATACTCACTTTATTAGACCGATTGCATGTTGATTGTAGATCTGCGGCAAGAAAATATTTCATAATGCTTCAATTTATCCTGGTACGTTGATTGGTGTCTCAAAAGAACTTAATCAAACTTAACACCTTGTCTCATTTAAGTTCGCGTCAAGATCTGATAGCTTTTTTAATATCACTAGATTTAGTAAGCAATTAAAATTACCGAATCTACGCTTAATAACAACTTCGTCTGGAACTAAACTGCGTTCTATAGCGTGAGGACCTTTCCTAATAGAGCCATTGGGAACATGTTGTTTAATTTGAATTTTGCTTGATGTTGCAAATAGTTTGGGAATGTTGGAGTTCATGTTGATGGATGTCTCAAATGATGTTTTTACGAAATATCAGTATCCTTCCTACGGGAAAAAATTAGCTTGTGTTTATGCCATGCCTTTATTTTTGAATTATGTTGTACTTTAATTCTATTTTTCAGAATTAGTTACTTGTGTGTTATGTCCCAACAACACGATGGATAATTATTTGTAAATAAAACAACAATAATGGGGTAAAACAGTGATATACCCATGGATTGAATTTGTGCGGTAATTTGTTAAGATTCCGTTTGATAGATATGTGCTTTTCTTATCGAATGCAAAAATTGCTCATCGCAGCGATTACTTGATTTACGCCAACGCAAGTAACTGTCATTTTTTGGCATTTAGAGTATCTTTTAGTTGGATTAAAAAAATAACAGGATTGTCTAATATAAATAGCTATGGCCGTTTGCTCAATACCTTTATCTATGTGGTTAAACGTATCCTAAACTGCTGGTAATTTAACTGGATGATAACTTTACCTTATAGAACCGTTTTCACCAAGTTTGGTTTAGCTTACCTAGAGATAGGTTGATTATTGTGAATGCGTAGAGAAAACAGTTGAGTATTCCTATTCACAATTACTATTTTACATGTTTTATTAAACTTTATGTTTATAAAACAAATAAATCGACCTATTTTCTCATTTTTTGCACAAAAAATTTAACTTTGAACATTATTCTAAATTTCATTGAAGTGAAAGATTTTAGTACGGCAACAATGAAATTGTGCACATCAGCAATTTGATATGTCGCTACCGTCTTCAAAATTTTCAAGAAGCTGGCTTAAAGGCGCCTGTCACACGTTCAATATTTATTGTGATATTAAAGATTGATGGATAGCGAATGAATGCTATACTAACTATCACGTCAGTATTTATTCGAAATAAATCGAGTTTTTGAAACAAATATGTTAAAAATAGTGGAAAGCGCGATGAATATTGAACGTTTAACGGTCAATCCACGGTCCTCGATCCGGATTTCAAAATATTTTGTGATAGGGGTCGCAGTCCTTCAATAATGCGTGCTACACGTTCAATAAATATCGCGATCCTGGATCGCGTTTAATATACAATATATTGAACGTGTAAGTCCACATAGACGCCATTGTAGACAAGAAAATTGCTGTAGTTACGTCGCGTCGTGCAGTCGTAATGTGTTTAAAGCATTGACGTAAAAAACTAAACAAACAAATAAAGTGAAAAAAAATTTAAGGCAAAATAAGTGTGAAATAAATACTTAAGTGAAAATAGCAAGTAGTGTTATGAAAAAGCGAGTAATGTGGGACGAGGCTGCCGAAGCCGATCTAATACAGTTGTGGCAAGAAAAAACGCCACAACTTCGATCGACTAGGAAGAACAGCCACATCTACGAAGAGATGTCGAGAGAAATGAACACAGCGGGCCACAATTATACGGCCACAGAAATAAAAATTAAAATACATAATTTCACTAATAAATACAGGTAGGTAATAAATTAAGAATTAAAATATTAACAAACATTATTTGTTGTGTATTTTTAGGCAGGAGAAACAGAAAGTATCGGGTGGCTCGCCTTCGGTGTGGAAGCATTATGCTGCTGTGCGCGAAGCGGTAGGCGGCTACAAAAGCTTTTGCTCCGCTGAGCTTGTCGAGGACAGCATTATGGGTAAGTTGTAATCGACAATTAAAAAAGTCTCATTGGACTAGGGATATTGTAAGAGACGTGATTTGATTTCTGTTACTACTGTTGGTGCTGAAACACTGGTGAAATTCTTGGGTCAATTTTAAATTGATGTTTGTCTGCTATCAAGTCCGGTACATTTATCACCCATGCGTTTGCTCTGATAAATTATGTTTATGACATCCTTTCTGATATCTATGATGTCCTTTTCTATGGCCAACTTAAAACAGTTGCATTTTTTTTCAAAGGACGTAGTGAGATTCAAACATTCGTCATCAAGCAGACGTTTAAGCTTATTCATGGTAATGCTATCATCTTCGTCACTTTCAGGGTCAAGATCATCCTGAGTGACGACGCTAACTTTCAAATTATTGAAATCACATTTCCAAAGTACATTTGGAGTAAGTCTAGGAAATTAGTATTCAGCGAAAAAATGTCATATGACAAGCGAGCACATGACCGGCGCCGTTGATCCTTTATTATATGTATAAGTATGTATATAAAGATTAGTTCTTACAATGCCACTAATTTAATGAAACGGCGTTTTATGGAATATTTCTTAGTGCTTTTATTTGTTCAGTTGCTATTGTCTTTTATATGTATGAATATTTTCAGTTGATATTGACAACATAGAATCGCCACTTTCGAATCCATTCGCACCAGCGGATCACGAAGCGGTAGGCGGATACAAAAGCTTTTGCTCAAATCCTGTAGATATTAAAACCGAAGTAGAATCGCCACTTTCGAATACTTTCGCACCAGCGAGCCACGAAGCGGTAGACGGTTACAAAACCTTTTGCTCCGCCGATCGTGTCGAGGAAAGCATTATGGGTAGGTTGTAATTGTATTGGAGTAAGTTCCATAATACGCAGTATCTTTTAAATAAATATATATAAACATTAGTTCGTACTATGCCACTAATTTAATGAAACGGCGTTTAAGGGAACAATGCTTTTATGTGTTTGTTGTTATTGTCTTTTATATGTATGTATATTTCCCATTCCTGTAGATGTTAAAGTCGAAGTAGAATCGCCGATTTCGAGTCTTGATGCACCACCGAGTCCTAGCGCATTTTCTTCCAATGCCTTCAATCGCCCTTCATCCAGTGACGCTGGAAAAACAAAAAACAAAACAGCAGTCTCAGTAATGGAGGAAATGAGGCAGGATTTTTTGAAGGCGACTCAGGCGATGAAGGAGGCCGATGAAAAACGGCTACGTATATTAGAAAAATATGCAAGAGACGTTAGCGAGATGAAGGATGCTTTCATAGACTTCCTTCGTCGCCAAAATTAGTCTCAAAAAAATTTTTTTTATGTGTCAAATTAGCATTTTTAATTTTATGTATTTAGTTAGACTTTGTACATTGTTCGGAATTTTAGTTTTTATGTTTGTTATTTAATCTTAAGTCATACCTTTATGAAAATACAAATATCTATTTTCTAAAAGTAATTGTGTTTGAGTACTGGATTTTGTAAAAAAACGTATGTATATGTAAGTATGTAATGTTGCTGATTACTCAGGTAGTTTTTGAACTGTAACAATATTTCAAAATTGAACGCAAGAACTTACCAAAATATGAAACGAACGCTTGCCTTATTGCCTCTGCCCTTGGGCTAACATTTTCGGAAATGTTAGGGATGTTTTCTGGCATTTGTCGAGTTTGGTTTTCGATTTGTTGTGCTCCAATCCATCTTTCATTAATTTCATCATTTTCCTCACTCAAAAAGTTGTGCAAAACGCAGCACGCTTTGATGACAGCTTTCGTGTTGACCATGTGGTTATCCAAGCCTTTGCCAACCCGCCTAAACCTTGCCTTCAAATGATCGAAAGCATTCTCGACGACTCTGCGGCATTTCGAGTGTGCATGATTAAATTTTTTTTCATTCAAAGGTTGGTTTATACGAAATGGGTACGGTTTCATCAAATGTTCATCAAGTTTGAACGCAGAGTCGCCCAACAAAACGACTGGAACATTAACTGACGATATTTGCTTACTCATGTCATTAAATAAGCTAGATTGTACTAACTGGCATTTTAAAGATGAACTCTCAAATATTGAAGAGTTATTACAACGACCTGGACTACCAACGTTGATGTATAGAAAGCGACATCTATAACATTAAAGAAATACGTTAACGGTTTGAACGAGCTTCATGAAAAAACTTGCCTTGCATCTACTAAAGCCAGAAGAACTGTGGAATACCAGCCTTTATCATTAAAGTAATCGACAGCATCTTCTGCTGTTGGGCGAACTTCTATGTGACATCCATCTAAAACTTAAAAATAATAAATAAAAAAATTCACTGTAAAGAGTTGAACTTCTTACCAAGAGCTCCTAAAACCTGAGGGAAACCCAAAGACTCAAAACCATTTAAATACTCCCGCAATTGAAATTCGTTCATTGGGAATTTATTCAAATACAAAGGCCACAAACATCGCCAGACTTCATGGCAGAACTCAATTAGAATGTTGCAGACAGAACTTTTGCCAATTCCAAACATATTTCCAATTGCTCGGTATTTTGCAGAAGAGCCAAGAGCATATAAAGCAATTGCAATACGTTTTTCTAATTGAATTGACTTCCGGTAGTTAGTGTTTTTCTTCTCCAAGCTTTTTAACATAATACACAATTTGTTAAAAGATTGGTGGTTCATTCGGAAGTTGCTTTTAAAAAATGCATCTGAATTAACCTGGCAATCGACTTCCCAAAACATTTGGCCACGAGTCTGAATTATATACGCATTTTAACGAATCAAATTACATATAATACATATAATACCAATTTTTATATACATACCTTTATCCAAATAGACCTTGTTGAACTTGTTCCATATTGACTAGCTATTTTGAGCATTGTGTGGGCAAGCAGTAAACGTCTCATTGCTAGGCACTTAAAAACAAAAAATTCCTCCATTATTTCCATTGAATGAAGAATATTTATAAAAAAAAAGACCACTTTAATAACAAAGTATGACATTACAATATTTTCTCTTAATAAATATTACACGATGTGAATTTTTCAATTTCAAAATCAGCTTTTTATAAATTTTCAGCGCCAGTGAGAACTTGCAAAACAATCAATGGGACTATCGATAGTTTTATTTTCGTTTCACTATCGATGTGTATTTTAATTATCGATGGTTTATGTCTTACAAGATTTTGCTTTTAAGTTAAACACACAAACTACTTCTCAAAATTGATTTAAGTTGCTTACAGCTTAACTTGATAATCAATAATAGTGTCAAGATGCTATTGTCATGGAAACCGCTTAAAATTCTTGAAAATTGCACGAAATAAATAATATTGTGACGAACACGAATGATAGAACAAAATCGACCCGACGATAAATTGCCAGAAGTAACTAGACAGCGAATTCGTAGTTACCAGAATGTTGTAGTGGCATACAGATTCAGAATTTTTGACTCAAGCTAATTGTATTATAAGTATAAATTTCTGGATCTCATATAATGTACCTTTTGAGCTGACGAGTTATAGCTCTCAGAGCAGTTTATATAGTAACATGAAAAATTGCATATATGACTATTTTCATTTTCTTCTTGTTCATGCTTTGTTTTATAAATATATCCAAAGTTTATTTTATAAAAATTAAGTGTACAAAGCCAAGGACCCTTAATTTAAATCAGCGAAAAGTAACTAAATTTCAAGGGGAAAACTCTATCCATTGTTCTAGGCTCGGTAACTATTTCTCCTCTTTCACTACAAGTCGGTGTGATTGCCATACTCCCTCTCCTTAGTGCAAATGCTATATACAAATATTTTACTGCCTTAATTTGCCAACTATTTTGGAAAACTATCTGTTACTCTACTTGGTTAATTTTTAATGGCTATTTGTTTGGTTAGCCATCTGTTACTGAAAATAGTTTGTTTGATTATTGCTATAGTTACCTATAAGTTACAGAAAACTGGTTCATGGGTTATTTGTTTAAAAACCTGGTTATTGATTGGTTACCACTACCCAACGTATCGGTTACCTTTTTCCTTATAAAAAAAATTGCAATTATTTTTGTTATATACATGTTTATACATAATAGTTCCATTTTCCCTTTTTTACACATTTTTAGAAATAATTTTTGATTCACTTTTAATTACAATCTTACAATTATTTTTAAGCTTTTAAATATTATATATACATTATACAAAAATTTAGATCTAGATTAGTGAATACATTTAATGCAATCTAATCACTTCAAATTTTTTTTGGGAACATGATATAAGAAAAAGTAAATCAAGATATATTTACATTTTTATAAAAGTAGGTTGAAACTAATCATAACGGAGAGGGCTAATGCTTTTGAAAATTGACTAAATAGAAAAAGTTTTTAATATCAGATATTTAATCCTAAATATTTATGTCCGCTGCATCGATCGGTTGCTGATATTAGTTTTAGAAAAGGCTTACAATAACTAATTTTTGCTGATATATATTAAAAAATAAAATTCTGAAATGTTACCTTTCAAGGGTTAAGAAACCGGAGATAATTCTTCTGCAAATCAATATATGTGTTTTTTTAATTTAGCATTTAACCGATCGTGATTTAATAATTAACTCATCCGCTCAAACTTTTATCGTCAGAGAGGTTCCTATACAAAGGATAAGAATCTATTCTGAAAATAATGTTTCTTATCAGACGACAACTCATAACAAAAGCAAAAAGTTGTTACACTGTAGGTAAGTTCATGTGCTCAATGTTTAAAGTTCAATCTCATTGCTTAAAGGTTGAATGCAAATATTTTTCAACTAGCTAATATATCTGGTGTAAGCTTAAATATCTGTTGTAAACACTTATCAAGTAGTGGCATTCATACAGCAACAGAGGAAAATATGAAACGTTTGGAAGGAAAGGTAGCAATAGTTACAGCTTCTACGGAAGGGTATGTTGATGACAAATAATGTATTTGATAGAACGCAAAAATGTGTAAAATTGTACTTTTCTTAGCATTGGTTTTGCAATTGCTAAACGTTTGGCCGAGGACGGTGCGGCTGTGGTAATCAGCAGTCGGAAGGAGCGAAATGTTGAAAATGCGGTAGAACGTTTACGAAAATTAAATCTTAAAGTTACGGGCTTAAAATGTCATGTTGGAGAAAAGCAAGATAGAAAACGGCTATTTGAAGAAACTATACGCACGTTTGGAAAATTAAATATTTTAGTATCTAATGCCGCTACAAATCCAGCAGTGGGTGGTGTGTTGGAGTGCGAGGAAAGCGTCTGGGATAAAATATTCGACATCAATGTTAAATCTTCTTATTTACTTGCAAAGGAGGCATTGCCTTATTTACGAAAGGAACAAGGTTCTAATATAGTTTTTGTGTCTTCCATAGCTGGCTACGATGCTTTCAATGTATGTGCATATATATTGTTTCTATGTAATTTTTTTTATTACGTATACATATATCTCAAATAAGAAAATTTTATAGTTGTTAGGAGCATACTCCGTTAGTAAGACGGCTTTAATTGGATTAACTAAAGCAGCATCCAAAGAGTTGGCTAGCGAAGGAATTCGAGTAAATTGCTTAGCACCAGGAATTATTAAAACCAAATTCTCAAGTGCGGTATGTATGAGGAAGGTAAAGTAAATGTAAAAAGAGAAACATAATTTTTTTTTAAATTTAAGCTGTACGAAACTGAATCGGCTAACGAAGCATCCATCTCAAAAGTACCTATGGGACGTCTGGGTACCCCAGAAGAAATGGGTGGAGTAGTATCATTTTTAGTTTCTGATGACGCTTCTTATATTACAGGCGAAACCATTCTCGCTGCCGGTGGTATGTCAGCTAGATTATAAATTTACTGCATTTATGTGAAATGTACGGTTTTTTTTTATTGATTTCGTTATAAGTAAAATATGTATGTCTTAAGTAATAGCATTTTATTTAAAATTCACATGATCATAAGGGTATACATTTATAAAAACTAACTTATTGTATAGTGTTACAACGTTAACTAAGAGGAGCGCAATTTAGCCAATTGGTCTTCAATATCCTTTTCGGTGCGTGCACTTTTTTCCAAATCTCCAGAGCCAGTAGATGGAATGTTTGCCATTTTACCTGATATTTCAATACCAATTTCATCCAAAACCTTATTAACAATGGTATCACTTTCTTCTTCATCGCCCGACTCGTTCAGCATGTCATCTAACGTATCGTTTATCATCTCATCTGTCATTTCCATATGCATATTTGCTTTTTGGAAATCTCGAAGATTTGCAGCAATCCTTTCTGGCCGCATCACCTTGTTCATATCTCCCATTGTTTTGGCAGTGGTTCCCATCGCATCAGCTAATACTATATTTGTTCCCATATTTTTATTTTGATAACCAATCGATGTAATTTTACTGGTTGCTGCAAATGTCCGAGACTTTTGCTTTCTTATTTCCACAAGTTGTTTCGCCAATATGCGGCATACATCATTATTGCCCTGTGCCGCAGCCTTTTTTATTTCTTGCTGCAGTTTGTGTTCCTCCTCTTCTAGTTTTCGGCGCTCTCGATCTATGTCGCGATTGGCTTTTCGTAGATTTTTGTCATTTTCCCTTTGCTGTTCCTTAACAGTTGGTTTTTTGCCAAATAAATTGTTAAACATATTTAATTTACTCTAACTTTTAGTTGAAAATTATTAAATGCGTGAGTCACCCAACCGACATTCACAAATATGAACAATGAAAACAAACAGAAAACAGCTGAGTTAACTATAAGTATGGCAACTCTGATGTTATCAATTCAAGGCGCATTTCAAATTTTTTTGAGTGCCTTGTTGGAAAAAAAATTAAATTTTGTAAAAAAAATTTGTAAAATATTACGTTCAAGCGTGAATACATTAAACCGGATGAATCAATGATGATAGTAAATTTCTAAATATATTTAAAATATCTTTTAATTGATAATAAGAGTGATCAGCTTTGATATACTAATTTTAGCACTAACCTGGCCACTCTAATCAGTAATGAATAAAACAGCATGCAGTTTAAAAGAGTTTATATAAATATAACACAGATATTTTAAAATAAATAAAATGGCCATACGTTTGCTCCGGGTTGGAGCTTTGCGTCAGTTGTGGTGTATGAACAATAAGGTGTCGCAGGAATTTCGTCATAATGACTACCTTAAATTAAAATACAATTTTTACAGTTTGTTTGATAAATCAAAGTATAGTGTTCGTAATCTGCACATTAAAACTTATGATAAAGATGCCGGTTTGGAAGAGCAACGACAAGCTAACAAGGAACAAGAGAGTCTTCCAGACCGTGAGCCGTTGCGAAGTGAGAATTCGATGAAGGAAGATAAACTAAATAGTCATGGAGGCAATTTTGTGGACAAATGCAACGATGCTGATATATTTGGTAACAATCAAACATCTGAAATCAAAGAAGATGCTGGGGATGTTATGGAAGAGGAATATACAAATAATCCTAAAAAGAAAGTATTACGAACAATTGATTACGTACGTCTCATAAAATCCCATCTAGCTGAGAAACGACTCAAAGATGCAATTGCTGTACTCGAAGTCCAAATGTTAAAGCAAGATCGCGCCAAACCTGATGCATATATATATAATTTACTAATAAGCGGTTGTGCAAAGGCAGGTTACACACGCAAAGCATTTAATTTATTTACTAAACTGCGGCAAAGAGGATTAAAAGTGAAAGGCGGGACGTATACGTCACTTTTTAATGCTTGTGCAAATGCTCCATCTACGGTCTACGGTATTGAACAAGCCAATAGATTACGTGAAATAATGCTAGAAAAGGGTTATGACCCAAATGTAAAAAATTATAATGCAATGATTAAAGCTTTTGGACGATGTGGTGACGTAAAAACCGCATATTTGCTTGCAGATGAGTTAATGGAGAAACAATTGCCTTTGAATGTTGAAACATTTAATTTCTTGTTGCAAGCCTGCGCAAGCGATGTAGACTATGGATTCCGGTAAAAACTCTTATTATAATCACGATTGTATATATTTTTCATTTGAATTTGTGAAATTACTTTTTAGCCATTGTCTTCTCACTTGGCACAAAATGATGCAACATGGACTAAAACCCGATTATTATACTTTTAACACTGTTTTACGTTGCGTGAGAGATTGTGGATTCGGTGACTTGAATACTATGGAAAAAGTATTAAATCAAATATGTGCAGAACGTGAAGAATTGCTTGCTACGGCTACATCTATAGAAAAAGAGACATCACTGCCTAAAGAAATATCGCCATCTAACACTCAAGATGTGGAGAAACAATCACAACTTATTGAATTTAAAAATAATGCAGAACAATTAGAAATGCCTAATTTGTTGGCAGCACGACCTCATCTCGGGAGCCTGGTTTCGTTAGCGGAAGTTTCCCGTCCTCATGAACGTTTTATACTCTTGGGCGGCTTGTCAGGATTTCTGAATCTTATGAAGGAATGTAAAATTACGCCTGACATTGAAACTTTCACAACATTATTGGAGGTCATTCCACCAACGTATGCAGCCGAAAAACAGTTGTTAACATACGTTCGAAAAATTGGCCTAAAAGCCGACATTGACTTTTTTAATATTCTAATAAAAAAACGTTCTATGCGTTTCGACTATGAAGGAGCGAAAGAAGTGCTGTCAATGATACGTACCGCCGGTTTAGAGCCTGATATTGTTACCTATGGTGTGCTAGCGTTAGGATGTCAAACAGAAGTGGAATCTCGGGAGTTATTGCTACAAATGAAAGAAAACGGCATACGGTAAGGCAAATATAATAGTATTCCTGTATACACATTTATATTGCGTTTACAACCTTGCAGCATGAACATACAAATTTTGGGTGCAATGTTGCGACAAGGAGCTAATAATAGAAACTTCCCATATGTCATCGAAATTTTACAAATCAGTTTGGATGAAAATATCAAACCAAACGACGTTTTTCTCAAACATCTTCACAATTTTTACGACCGATGTGCACGGTCGATTGACGCAAGAGTAAATTTACTTATTAATTTATATTTAATTTCATTTACTAATTTTCAATATTTTCTAGCATCCTTCAACAAAAACGAAGTCATTTAGAAGGGGACACGAAAAGTTCTGTGCTAAATTGCGTCTTTACTATGAAGAACAAGGAATTGCTGGCTTGAAGATAGAGGATGCAATTAAAAAAATTCATGAACATCCATATCAGCAATATAGGGATGATGAATATGAAGGCGTTGAGCCATTAAAAAATCAAAAGCTTTCTAAACAACAAAAAGTTCGAAGATATATAAAAAAGATTAAAATTGAAAACTTACGTGTTGATACACAGGATTCTTTATCCAACGATAAAAACGCACAACAGCGGTTAGAGTAGTAAAATTTGCTCTATGTTTTATTTTTTGTTGTGTTTACAAGCTATGTTAGGATTAAGAGTCAATCAAGCTTTTGATAATAAAATAAAAATGAAACAAATTTTTCGATAAACGTCTTTTTAGCCAATCATAGTACGTTTTCGTCCCCGGGCTCGCACTTCTTCGAATTTAGAAAGAATAGCTCCTTCATCCTTGCCACATTCTTTACGGTAAGCTTCTAAAATGTAATCAAATAGATATGGTTGCTCACTGTGTGTGCTAAGAAGCGCTCTTTCCAGTACGTATAAATCGACACTTTTGTCTTCCGCTGCTTGGTTGTAATGACTCAATCCGAAATCAATAAAGATAACGTCGTGATCTTTAAAATCCTTATTTTCACTTTTGGGATTGATAAGTATGTTAGAAGTTGTCAGGTCCCCATGTATTATATTATTTGCATGCAATTTTCCAATTATTGTACCGACTTGTCTGCAAAGATTTTTCAAAACTACTTCCGCTGTCTCCACTGTATGATCAGCTACAACACGTTGAATTAATTCTTTGGCCGTGATGGCGTCTCCAAAATATTCCATATAAATTTTACGTTCATTTAGATCAGTATGCAAAATACGTGGTGCTAATATTCCAGCGTTTTGACATCGAGTAGCCGCTTTTGTCTCCGCTTTGATTCGTTGTCTTGTAATCTGTGTGTCTAATTCTGGATGACGGTAATGTTTAATAAAACGCTCTTTTACCAAACACTTTTCTCCTTTAAATTCACCAAGGTAAAGGCGACCTTCTGCGCCTTGCTTTAAAACCTCCATTTGCAATGTATGAACTTAAGAATACACAAATTAACTTAAAATAAGTAAAGAAACCGCTCCAAAAATATTCATAAATAAGGCAATCAGCTGTTTACGCACAAATTGCAGAGCTACCAGCTCTACGTTTGTTAATTAAATTTAAGAAGTAATTTTTCCAAAAAAAAATTATGTTTTTGCAAAATAATATAATTAATTTAATTCAACATATTTGACTGTACGTATTTTTTATTCGTTCTGATTATTTTTCAATTTTAAAGTTTTTTTTTATAATTGTTAGCTATTTGTTTGGTTTACATTGGTTTTAAATAATCGGTTTGTGTCTCTGCTTATACTTCATTTATTACTTTTATTTGACAACGACTATATGTTCGAGTGATTAACCTATTTGTAACAACACAAGAATTAATTTTAATAAATGAGATAAAATGAGCATGCAAGTGGATCCACGCCGTAAAGAAAAGGTCAACCGCTATAAGGCCCCACAAAACCAAGGTCAAGCGGGAAATTCCAGCGAAGATCTTATGCCTGATTATATGAATATTTTGGGTATTACTTACATTAATATTTATATATATATGCAATTGCAACAAAGCTTGTATTTTTTAGGCATGATATTCTCAATGTGTGGACTGATGATGAAGCTTAAATGGTGTGCCTGGTTCGCTTTATATTGTTCTTGTATTAGTTTCGCTAGTTCAAGGGTCAGTGATGACGCAAAACAGGTACTAAAATATAAAGATTAAATCAGCAGACTTGTGCTCATGGTGTCTTTCTTTCTTTGCCCAGGTGCTCTCATCTTTTATGTTATCAGTTAGTGCGGTAGTTATGTCATATTTACAAAATCCTGCACCGATGACACCACCATGGGTACCTGCTCCATAGTGAATTGTAGCGGAATAGCATTCCTTCTATAAGCTTACTTTCATATATATGAATAAAAATTGTCATGAATATATAAAACCGTTTGATGCTGCGAAAAATAACGATTTTTAGTTAAATAAAGCATAAATACATTTGGGTATTACATATTTGCAATCCAGAGTAATTTGTTATTAATTTCAAACTATTTTTAAACATCTTAAATATACTTAAAATTCTGGCTTGAAGCAAATTTTTGCTACTTTTTTGATTAGCTTAGCGTTTTATAAAACGTTCAAAATATTATTATTTTGCCGATTTAAACTGGGTTAACAAATATCTATAAATTAACAATTTCTTTAAAAAAATAAGTAATGTCATGCGATGTGAAGTTCTAACGCAGCTATGATGACAATTTTGTGAAAATGATAAGAAAACCGGACAACCCTTCGTTTGCCTCTGGTCTCTCTTAGATAATTTTATTCAATCTGTGAGTCTTAGGATGTGAGTACGTAATAGGCGAATACGAAGAAAGCGAAGAAATAGAGCGAACTAAATATTACGGCGTATTAAATTTCCCCAAAATTAGTATGTCCGGTCGACTTTGCATGTTGTTGTGCCTGCACTTGACCAACCAACATAACATCGCACTGCAAGCAGCGCAGAGAAAATTTATCAACATTGGTAAATTGTCTTGATGATTTAGCTTCGTTAGCTAACTGCTCCGCTTGATGATACACTCCCAATTCCTCGATTGGAAATATAGTAGCAGGTGCACCGCCCTGAAATTAATAAAATATTAAATAAATAAAATATGTCGATCGGTACAAAGCTTATTACTCACTACTACTGTTTCCATGTATAAGGGATCGTAATGTATACCATCGAAAAGTAGGAAGACCCGTAGTCCATAATTTTTATCCTCACCGAAACGATTAATAATTGCATTTTGTATATCTACAACATCGATCTCTATGCCATAATAGTTGGAGAGTATTGAAACTTCAATTGCACCTCCCCACGAATCAGGTTTTTGTATCCATGCGCAATATTCCGAGTTTGACTTGCCCAAAACAGCGTCGTTAAATTCTTGTGGATCAGCAGATACAACTTGAGCAATAATATGTCGCATCATTTCACTGCCTTCATTGTCGACTTTGCCATTTAGTACAAAACGTATGCTTGTAAAAAGGCAAGAATTATCTGCCGGCACAACCTTTTTGAGTAAAATTCCATTAAAATTTCCGCTCGAACCACTAGGTAGCTCAACGGGTGCTTGTGGACCATTGGCACCTTCTGTCCTTGTAGCTTCTGCGACTACTTGACGTAGTTGCTCTTCCTCTTCTTCGGCTTGTAATCTACGTGCAAGGGCTTCGTCATCTTCTAAACAATAATCGGCTGTATTTGCTGGTTTCTCTTCGACAATTAATGTTTCACCACTGCTAACTCCTATCGTGGATATAGAATGTGCATTTTGCGATAAATCTAATGGACGAGGTGGAAAACCAGCGAGTATGTGCAACTGTGGTTCCTTGACTTCAGTTAATTGTGAAACTTTTACTTTCAATTCGCCAATTGTTGTTTTAGCAGTCAAGTCCTTCACAATGAATTGGCCTTTCTTCGATTTTATTTTAACACTAAACGAGCCAGTCATTTTTACACGATTATTTAGAATTTTTTAAGTTTTTCAGTTTAACGTTTAGTATTTAGCAATGAGGTAATTTTGTTGTAATTGGAAAAATAAAGAAAATTTTCTGGATTTATGCTGATTTTACTTTTCTTCTCTGGACTAAACAAGTGTTGCCATTTTAGATTGAGATACACTGAAGAAATGTCAAGAATCTAAATATTTGGAGAGTTATAACGAAGCGTTTAAAGTGATGAAAAGTGTTATATTTATTAAAATATTTATATATATTATATATTTTATTTGTTTGCATTACTTTTACATGGAAGAACTGGTATATTTCAAATCTGAATGTGTTATCTTATTGTAGTTATATAATTTGCTCTCTGCAACTTGTGTATCAAATCGTACTGATGGTATGTTCAATGTAATACTCGGAAATCGATTGTTTGACAGGAAATGGCCGTCAAATCATATGTTGCTAATTTAAATAAGCTTGAATAAGAATTTCCCACAGCATCGTGGTTTTTGAAAGAATTTTAATAAAAGAAGGGCATATATTCCATTTTATTTGATTTAAATGTGTGATTTTGCTACTTACAAACACTGTGTCGATTTTCTTCATAGAATAAAAGAGCATTTATTTACATTCCAGCCTTTTGGTAAGTAATAACATTTTTTATTATCAGCAATGACTTGGAATATTTGTATTTTTGTGTTCACATCTCCTTTTGAATTATTTCGCGGATTCAATGCATAAATGCTCGTTACTTAATGCACAACCTGAAGTGACGACGACCTGAAATACAATGGCAACTGAAATATAATATTATCTTCAATATCATCGCTGCGCCTTTGTTTAAATATACTAATTACTACCATGCTGAACAATTTGAATTTGATTTTTGAATGAAAAGTGAAATCAAGTCGCCTAGATGTGTATGATTTAGGTGTGTATGCACACGATTGCCTGCTTGAGATCAGTGAATTCGCAATTTTAGGAGCATTTGTTTATAAATAAGAGGTTTAATTGTATGTGTGTGCAAATGTTTACTCAGTTATGTACATATACTATATGTATGTACTTGTATATTTATAACACCATTTTAGGGTGCCTACGACTCATATTAGAAACGATTTTCAATGTTTTGTATGGATTTATTTTCGGTTGGAATACATGTATATTACATTTCATATGTATAAACATATTAATATAATATACACATACCGTCACCTAAAATGCAAAATAACGTAAAGAAAAGGAAAAAGCGATATAAAATAGAAACTACTCATATTAAAGGTAGGTACCTAGGCCAATAGGACTAAAATCCCCTCACGATAGTTGCGATTTGTTTCCTATATAAAGCTTAGCATTCGCATAGAAGTTGTTTTATAGTCTCCTCTACTTCCACATCCTGTCAGCTTCTACAAAGTCAATATTTTCTAGTCTGCTGGCATGACTTATTAGAGTTCTTATGTGGCCTATATTCCATTCATGTCATGTTTGCCTGCATGTTGAGCAAGTTATGGATTGCCTCCAGCAAGCCTCAGTTATGTTTATAACATGTTTTTCCATTAAATATCTACAAGTTGCCAGAGTTATATAAATTCCCTCTTTTCTAGAGTCGAATTGTATTCATATGCTTCAGAGTTACCGGGAATACCAATACTCCTGGATCCCATTGCAGATTTATCGTGAAATATGATGATAGGTCCACAAGAGATCAAGGCATTATTTCACCTTTGACGAAACACTAAGAGACTTTAGTGATTCCTTGTTCCTTGTAGTGAGCACACTCTTTGTCAGAACAAGAAGGCCCCCTTTAATTGCTGTGATCTTCGCTTGTAAGGCACTTCAGTGGTCTCGTAGACGGAAGACGATTTGGCATCTAATTTTGCTGAAAAGACACCACCTCCCACCCTATTATCGAATTTAGACCCATCCGTGCTTATCCCTGCGTCCCTGTTCATCTCGTCTCTTGCTCACTCTTCTCTGGAAGGGAAGACAAATTGGGGACCTAATTTAGGTTCAATTCTATAAGATTACGAAAGTCAGTGGAACAAATTACAGGCGACTTATAGGGAGAACTCCCTAATGTAAAATGACTTTTAGTGCCTGACTTGGCGTTGGCCCAAGGTCTTCACTGATGCATATACTAGCTGCTTTTTGTATGGTTTCTATGCGCCTTTCTGCCTATTTTTTTTCATTATTGGCTATCATACCAATATATCGTATGTCATAATCGGCCTTCGACTGCTGTCTAGAGCCAATAAGTTACCCGTAGCGTTAATCACCATTTTGTCCCACAATCCTTTTAGAGGTGTAATGTGCAGTACAGCTTTCTTTACCCTACCGTTTAAGTTTGGTTTCCTTGAAAGCGTTCTGTCTAAAATTAGTATTCCAAGTAGAATGCCCTGTTCAGTCGATTTCCCGAGAGGTTCAGAGATGCCCAAATCTTTTAGCGCGCTCAGTATGGCGTTAGACTGTATGTTATGGAAAGTGTCTTCTATGTCTAGGAAGACTACGAGGGTGTATTCTTTTACCTCCATAGATTTATTAATCTCTGCTACCACTGAGCTTAGTGCTGTTTCGGTGGATTTTCCTTTAGAATACGCATGCTGCGAAACTGAGAGTTTTTTTAAGGAGGAATGAGGAAAGACAAATCGGTCTGAAATGCTTTGGACTTGTATGTGAGCCTTTGCCCGCCTTTAGTATATACATTTCTTTGACTTTCATCCATAACGTGGGAATATAGTTTAATTGCAGCGCTCCTTTAAGAATTGTTACTATAAAGACTTTTATGTAGCTCAGGTTCCGACGATTTGAAGGCTTGAAACTACTTATCGCCCAATCTACATTGCTTTCTGACACTATATCTACACGAATGTAATATATCACTTCTCCAATGTCTTGTGTACATTCAACCGTGTGATTTTGATGATGACAACTTTACTGGATACCGTCCAGCTGCGGCCTGGCTTCTGAAGGTACCCCATGTTATGCATCGCTTGTGCTACTCATATTGATACAAAATTTGAATTTTTTTCATAACTTGGTTACATCTGGTAGCCGCCTTAACAAATTTATGAAAGACTCAAAACGCTTTGTCGATTTATGAGGGTCTTATGATCAATTATATAGGAGTTTTTGGTACCGGCAATTTAAGCTGTCCAAGTGAGCACCCTGTTGGGACCTACCTTGATTTCGTAAGGACAACTTATACTCCCCATTTAATTAAATGGTGTTCTGCTCCAAAAACAGAGATGGAACTTAAACTGTTTACTGTCCATGTTATCCCATTACATAGCAGTAAAATCCCACTATGTACATAGTAGTAATTTTCTCTGTATCAAAGATTATTATGTCTTAAAAAATATTCTTCCATAATCTTTCACTTCTACTTCTTTTATGGTTATCATTTCGCATTCATGATAGTTTGCATTTCCAGATTGTTGTCTTTTTCAATGAGTTTAATAACTTTTGTAAACAATAAAAAAAATATTCTTCAAAATGTGAGCTTACTATGTTGTGTAGATTTAAGTAATGATTTTTAAGAATTAATTTTATGGCTCTATTTATGAACATTAAAGCGGGTCGTTTTGTAGGGCGCCGATAAAATGAGAAAATCTCATTTACCGAAAATGTTTTACGGATCATTTAGAACAACTTTGCCTAATCGCTGGCTCGAAACCAGTTTTACACATAGAATGATCCGTAGAACATTTTCTGCATATGCGATTTTATACATAAATTTAGAAGTCAAATATCTTTGCTAAGATGCTAATATGCAAATAAATTAAATTTTGATACATATATTGACGATAAGTTATTTGCAAGTATATAAAAATATGTGTATCAACGTGTGCGTACGTGATTTCACGGGCAAACAAAACACAAAGGAATTAGTTCGTTGCGTAAAAAAAATGTTTAGACTATAAACAATAACCAAATACAAAGTTGACAATTGAATAGGCGTTGACGATTACTAACTGCAACACAGAGAAAGAAGAAGCAACAAAAAGCTCAAAAGTGTTAAAAGATTAATGGCACCCCCAACATGATTTAAATCTATGAAAATAGTACGCATATCATACATTTACGTCTATAGCTATATACATATAAGTACATAGGTTTTGGTACGTACATACCGCGCGTTCATTGCTAGGGTGGGTGCCGCAGATTTTTGCGTTCCTCGTTGAGCCGGCCGCTGTAGCGTCGCTGCCAGCAGTCAACGCCGGCCGCATACGTAACTAGGCTAGGTATAAATAGTAGTACTAAGTTTAAACTGAATATCAGTTAACGTTCACTATTGGATCTACGCGGTTTCGAGTTAAAGAAATTTCGACAAAATAAATTACTACAAGATGAAATTCCTGCTATTGGTGCGTGTAAAATTAAGAAAATTACAAAAATTAAAGTACAAGTTAAATTTATGTGTTAAAAAAATTAAAATAATTAAAGAAAAATAAAAAATTCAAAAAATATATGTTTTATATATTATACAAAAAAAAAGAGTCTTTAAAAATTAAAAAAAAAAAAATTAAAAACTTTGAACATATCTAATAAATCTTTTTTCAATTGTTTTAAAACTCATTTAGGCCATCTTTGTTTGCTGCGCGCTCTTCATGGCTGTCAGCGCCGTGCCCGTAGAAGAGGCCATTCCCGAAGGCATTGAGGGTGCTCACGACACTATCGAAGCCACCGACGACAAAAGCGTTCTATTGAAATTGAAGTTGCTTAAGAAATTGTTGTTCTTGGGTTAATTCCATCGACATGCAGTATCATCATATACCGATATTAAAAAAAAATTCAGTCATACTATACCCATAAACGTCGTATTTTCACGATGTTTATTTAAAAATTTATGATAACTCTAAGCAAAAAAAAATCTATAAGAAAATATCAGTTCATAACTTCAAATACTCTCAATAATTTGTTATTTATAAGATAAAAAATAATAAAATACATTTATTTGTTTATATAACTAAATGTGTTTTTACTAATTATAAATAATATAATTTTAAGTGCGTATGTATGTACGTTTATATATATGTTTATATATGTATATGTATATATAGCCTTTTCTATATTTATGAACTTTTTTTATCGGTTTTTTGCTATGCAATGTAGCTACAACAACAATCAATTGCTGTATTTACATATACTCATATGATATGAGTATATTTTCTACATTTGCTTATTCATAAGTTAGAACTTCAAGTTAAAAAAAAATATATATGAAAAGCAGATATTTTTTCAAAGCAAAAAAAAAAAAAAATTCAAAACGGTACTCACGGGCTTGACCTTGCCTGCTGACCTTAACTTAAAATAAATTTTGATACGTTTTACTAAAAAAATTAGGAAAAAATCAAATTTATACAATTTTTATTTCCAAACGCGCTCGGGTATCCTTGTCAGGTGATTTTCTAAAATAATCGCTAGAATTTAGAATAAAAAACTCTTAATAACACTAACAAAAAAACTAGGGTAGTGAAATGTATGCAAAAACCCATTAATTAATATTCGAAGGGAAGTGTAAATGTTTGCCTATTTATACCATTTTGCAAATCTTTCCATTTCTGTTAATAGAAGAATATCTAGGAAAGCAATATTGAAACCGGTTTATTAAAATTTTCTTGTTGATATAGAAGCTATTCTTTATCAAAATTTTAGGGTTAACCTGTTTAAACTCTGATATTATACAAACGATTTTACAAAATTCTTCATTTACATATAAAATTCTTGTAAATAAAAAAAGTAAAAATAAAATTTATGCAAATTATTTCTAAGCAAAATTTGAACCCATAACGAACTTTATGTACACCCATCAAAATCGAAAATTTTTATTCTTAACAAACCTGTTTCACACAAATATCCAAATATCCGCTTAAGCGCTTTTTGGCCTGAACTTAACACCTTTACATTAATTGTCTGTCAAAATTTGTTTTTCCATTTTTGTTATATTTATTGATAATCAATATTTACAGAACCATGATTGTATGCATGTTGAATATTTACAATAAGAATTTCCTTATTTTGTACAAATAAAAAGATGAGCTTATGCGGTCTTCTAACAGCGTCTACGTATGAAAATTAGTTGCTAAACAAATTATAATAAAAAACCAATTGTAAAAATAACTATGAACACATTGAAGTGATAACAACTAAAATAAGAATTTCAGCACATGCGAGGTATGTGCTTGTATATAGGTACATATGGATATGCTTTATAGTTAACCCAAAAGCAGCTTCTTGATCTTCTTCAGTTTGAAGAAGTTTTGCCGCCCTTGCTCATCCTGATCGTAAAGATCACCCGGCAGGGATTCTTCAGCGGGTGCGGCTGCTACCAGCGCAACCATCAGCAAACACACCAACAATGCCTAAAATTCATAAAAAAAGACACATTTCAAAATCTCTAAAATATTTTTCAAAATATCTTAAAAAATTCTAATATCGAAAGAAATTTTAGGATTTGTTTTTATAGATTTCCACTATTGATAAAATATTAATTTCCTCCTTCTTTGTTACTTTACGTTGATTAAATTTTTTAAAAATTTTTTGTAACTTTGTTTTTTTGCGAAATGGATTTTTACAATTTAAATTTTTCAATACACTTTAAATTTTTCAATACACTATGAAGTGTAAATTTTTTCACAACAAATAAAATTAAAAAAAAAAACAAAATTTTGACTAGTCCTTCGATCATTACCGGTATTAATCTATTATATTAACTTTTTTTTTTTGGTTTTTGGATTTGAGATAATTTTAAGCATAAAAAACTTCCTCCGCTCTAGACAAATTGTTTTGGGGTGCTCTTGGAGATCGGCTTTTTGAAATTGATCAACAATTTTTAAAATACTTTAAATTCTGTAAATGTACATTATTTTTTTATTTATTAACTAAAATGTCTCTTAAAAAAAAATTCACGAAAATCGGGGTTTTTCTGACTATCAAGTAGATATGGTATGGTTTCATGAACAGGCTGAAAGAACTACTAACTTTAGTTTGTATACAGAGTAATATTCAATTAGACTGCTAAACTAATTACAATTAGATCGTATCTATATCGTATCAATTCGGAAAGAATGCCGAAAAAAGTAAATCTTGGAATAGTTCCTATTAACTATTCCTGCTTTGGCTTGGAGTTTGAACGAAATAAATTCCAAAAAAGTGAATTATTATTCCCATTTATTTTTAATACATGATTTAAATTTTAGAAAACTATAAGTTTCAGATTAAAATCGCAAAAAATATCTTTATCTTTTCTTAAATCCTTGAAACAATATAGTAGTATTTTGACGAATCTAAACAATTAAATAAATTTAATTTCGTTAAAGTTCCAACCGCGACATAATTTTGCGTTCACGAAGTGGTTAAGGCTTGAATATATTTTCAGTATTTTCGAACATATAAAAAGCTATTTTCCAATATTCAATATAAGTGTGATTAAAGCAAAAAAAAAATGTTTCCATTTTCTTTTCTTATCTTATCCTTTCAGCTTTCCATTCCTGGATATTGAATAATGGTTAATTTCTTGTCACAAAAATTAATAACACTAACTACTGGTATCTAATATTTAGATTAGGTCGTAGAGCTAATCAATATTATTATTTATATATAATGTTAAATTCACGATCCGAAATTATTTTACTCCAATGTTCCAATATCCAAAAAAAAAAAAATATTATAAATGCTCAAAGAGGTTTTAATTTTCTAGTTCGGCTCAAAATTGGTTTTATGTGTTCCTTTCAGCCTTCTTTCTGGTGAGATTTTTATAATTTATTACTTCTCATAAAAATTAATATTTGCATATGATGTCAAATTCACCATCCAAAATTATTTTACTCATGTAATTTTTTATGCTTTCACTCAAAACTTAAATTTTATTTTTTTAATTTTAAATTTTAGTTTTAATTTAAGAAATATCACTTTTTTAACTTTTTTTAACCAACTATCGCTGATTGCAACATACCAAAGCCAAGAATTTCATTTTAATCAATTGATGATTTTCACTTCTTCTTCAAATGTGGTTAAATACGTTGAACTGCAATTTTTGGTTACCTCAGTGGTTCAATTCACAACTGACTGTGGCTACTGCAGAGACTATCAGGGCTTTTATATGCGCTGATATTACAGAAAGGGTATCGTTAATGACCGCCAACTACTTAGTATAACTAAATAATATACTCGTATCTACACGTAAATTACACCATCGGACGTTTCGAACATTTCGATGAACAATATCGATGACACGATGGATCTTCGGCCGAAAAATAAAGTTTAAACTGTCGTTATGCCTCAAATGATATATTAAAAGCAAAAGTGAAAAAGGCAAAGTCGTTTAGTACCAAACTGCTGATAATATAAACAAATGGAAATCCAACAAAATAAATAAAAAATATATAAATAAATTGCACTCCACCCAAGTGTATAAGCAAATGTTGAAAAAGTATATCTACATTAAACAATGTATGTATGTAAATATGTGCTGCTGAGCTTAATATAATAAAATAAATTGTTAACTGCATTTTACTGTTAAATAAGTTTTGTAGATAGAAGAAGAAGAAGTGTCAACAATAAATGCAAAACCAGACAAATTACAATGGATATATGTACCTATATACATATACATACTTCATATTTACCGATTTATAAGTATAAGCCCAGATTAGTAGTTGCTTTTACGCATATAAATGTAGGTGTCTGAGATGAGGCATTTGTTTTTACATGTATACAAGTATCTGGGTATATATGTCTGCTGTAAGTACATTTATGTACGCGGTAATTGTGGGCAAGTACAAGTTTTAAAGTAGTCGTTTGTATGTGTGTCATATAATATTGCAATGATCGTCGAAGAGGCAAAATTGAATGAAATTTGGTCAATCGGTCAACAACTTACATCGTTGTACATCATCATATACACATAAATATAATAGCTATGTATGTATGTATGTACAAGTATATACCTAAGTGAGTACTGATGAACGGATGAGCTCATAGGTTGACACACCGCGCCTTTTATAATATGTTTGCGAAACAATTTCACTGTACCATTTTTAAAGTGGATTATTTAGCTCGATTACAAAGAAATATCTGCAATTTGTGGCAAACCCAAAGCAAAGTAAACAAATCCCTGATTTTGCGCACATATCTTTCATTTGTAAGAATTATTATAATTTTGAAAAAAATTGGATTTTCTTGATCCCGTAGCCGATCTCTAGAATGACCTTCGAAAAATGTGTCTGGCGGTGATAAAGATTTGTCTCCCTATAATTATCTCAAATTGAGAAATCAAAGTTATTATCATTATAGAAGAGAATAAGAAATGATCGAAGGATTAGCTCAAATTTAGATTTTTTTAAAAATGGCGGCTTCCCCCCAAAAAAACGTTTTTGTGAAAAGCTGTTGCGTGATACATGAGGGTTGAGGGTACTAAATTGATGAGAGAAAATAAAAATATGATTTAGCCAAATTTTGGATGAAAAACAATATACATATGCCATAATAGCTAAAATAAATAAAGAAACATATAAATAACTTAAGTTGTATACAATTTCGCGGTATTTGTTTCTGATACTATATAAGCTCACACCTGAAGAGTTTAAAGCTACGGCCATTAGGATAAAGAGAAAAGAGTCTGTCTGGAACTGCACCCCCTATTTCAATGATATTAGCGTCAAGACATGTGAAGATCTCCGGAAATCTGATGATTGCAAACTACCCCATAACCTGTCACCGGCTAATGAAATTGAGAGTATTTTCCTAAAATATTTAGATAGATTTCAGCAGCTACACCTAAACCCTGACTAGACTTTTTCAATCTTTGGTTCTATCTGTTCTTGAATATGGGTTCGGTTATCTGGTCCCCTTTCTCAAATGTAATGATATACAAAGTGGAGAAGGTCCAACGCAAATTTTGCAAGTCACTGGCCTATAAATTGTCATCTTCAAGTCACACCTACTCCACTGATGAAATCTGCACGTCGACAGGTTGCTGATCTCAGTTTCTTCTACAAAGTTGTTAACAACATAATTGATGCTCCCGATATCTCGGCTGCTTTGAATTTGCCTCAGTCGGTACAACACTCAGACGTAATCGAATACTAAAAACTTCCAACTCTAACGAAAAACTATGTGATTTTTGGTGTTGATGCGTTTGATAATTGTTAAAATAATTGTATAAAAAAACAAAAATCGACAAAATGTCGCTTACGTTATTTTCGCGATAAGGGTTAGATATATGCATGCCATATTATTGATAAGGTAATGAATTTTCGAGAACTTTTCGAACAGATGCTCTAAAAAATTTTAAAAATTTATATCCTTGTTTAATTTTAATAGCTTTAGCAAATTTGTTTAGCTTAAAAGCTCATATCTGTTTACAAATATATGTGCATACCTTATTTTTGCTGAAAATAGTATAAAGAAAAAGTATTGAATAAACATAAATATTAAGTTTAATTAAATAAAAGCTAATTAGTACTGCTAATATGTTGATTTATGCATTCTATATTAAATCTACAGCTTTATATTTTGAAAGAATTGCTACATCTACGTGGCTGGTTTTGCCTTATTTAATTAAAATTACTCATGGATTTCAAGGTGTTAGCTTTATGAGTTTGATTAAGAGTGTCATGAATTACTTTAGTAAACAAAAGTATGCTGACTATACGCATATGAATGCATATGTACTGTTATTTCTTATGCACACAAATATAGTCGTATGTACATAAACATATAAGTATATCTGCATATAGATGTACATTTATTTGAAAATCAATTCCTATTTGGTTTTTTAAATGATTGATCTTGTTGGTCGAGTGCAATCATGCGATTCTTACCTCAAAATTAGCTAATGGACTTACAAGGCAACTTGAGTCCGACTAGTCAACACTTGCCGGTGCAGACATTATTTGCACCCTATTGTTTGCTCTTATCAATTTGCATGAGAAAATAATCGATGCCGATGGATTTAAAGAGTAGGTTAAATAATTTCTTAATGATTTTTGATAACATTTGCCTGGTACGATTACTGTTATGTTATATGTATAAATGTGTATATAAGCCTATTAAATTTCTAGTAAAAACAATGTGTGTTTACTTTCAATACTCGCATCTGGTAACAAAGTGATGACATTTACTGATTTTGCATTTTTTATGATTGATTGTCATGAAATTCTCGTAAGATTTTAAATATGTTGAACGCAAAGAAATTTTGATTTAAAAATAACATTTTAATATGGCTGAAAACTTAACAACTTTTAACAATTAAAATTTAATCATATTAAGGAAATTAATAAAAATTGGGTTTATTGTAGTTAGGCGTTTTTTGAGTTAAAGTAGGTACGTATGTATGTGTATGAATAATTTTATTTGTATAATAATAAGTTATATACATATACCATAAATATTTCATGATTCCTTTTAGGTCATTCATCTTTGAAGCTCTTAGAAGAAGAGATTAGAATATAAAACATGTTTGTAGTCATGTGAATTAAAAATAATTGAAATTTTTCGAAATTAATTTTCAAAGTTACGTAGTTTTCAATCAAACTGCTTCAAATCGGTTATTACCGGTTACAATAATAATTTTTGATGCGGAATATTATGAAATTGTTCATTAGAATATTTTACCTTCCAATCATTATCCCTATATACCATGAACAGGGTATATTAAGTTTGCCACGAAGTTTGTAACACCTAGAAGGAAACGTCGGACACCTTGGAAAGTATATATATAAAGGATTAGCATGTCGAGTTGAATGCTTTAGCATTGCCCGTCTGTTCGTCTGTCTGAAGATACAGGAACTAGTTCCCGATTTTTTGAAATATTTATCTAAAATTTTGCACCTTTTCTCCCCAAGAAGCTGCTCATTTGTCGGAGCCGCCGATATCGGACCACTATAGCATATAGCATGGAAACCCTTTTCATTGTCCAAGTAATCTCCGAAGAAATTGTTCAAATCTGAAATTTAGTGCTTGTAAGGAATCTTTTATATTTGTGAGTATATTATAGCTTCAGGGCAACCCATATTTAAAAAAATTTTCAAAATTTGGTCAGTAGTAGCGGAGACTATCACGTTCATATTCATGAATGTTTTTTTCCGCCAATTACTCCACAGTCACTACTTAATAAGTAGTTAAATTATAAGTTATTGTAATCATAATAATTTAGTCAAAAATGTATTTTGACTAGCGTGCGATCAGACATTACTTAATTATTATCAGTGCTTAAACATCTCGCAATTTAAGCACTCATTATGATGCTCATTTAACACGAATGTGAAATTATTAAAAAAAAAAACCGAAAGTGTGGCACTTAAATTTTACTCTTAGTTTCGATTAGCCTGTGTAAGCATATACATATACTACTTGATAAAAATAAGCATGGTTTACATATTATATGTACACAAATATATATAAAAGATTATTAAAATGTGTGGACAGTTTTGAACTTGTGGAAGCCAGTATATATCCACGAAAAACAAAATGCATACCATCTATTTAAAAATTAAACTCAGCCAATCATATAGCAGTGCTGTCATCTATTTATTTTGTCTAGAATATTTATAAAAATCTTACATATTGTTTTCTTTTTAATAATAATAATATATTAGTCCACGATTTCCATTTTAAAGAGTCTGGCAACTGTAATGACAGTTCTCATTAAGTAGATATTAAATATCGCATGTAGATTGTTGAAGGTACGTAACAAGTTTTAGAGCCCACTACAGTATTCCCCCTCTATATATCTACAGTTAAATATCTACAGTTAAGTATTTATTTTTTCATTCTGTGATAGGGTTCTGCCAGAATATTATGTTAAAATAAATGTGTATGTGCTCATATAACCCATATATAGATTTTGTGGTTTGGTTTAGTTACTAAACCTTTATTTCAATTATTGATCTTCGTTGTACGCATATAAGACTATTCAATTTTCTTGTTCGCTATCGAGAGAGGCGCGTAAAATAATACGAAAGGTAATTAAAATAAAAATAGTGAAAAAATGGTCCACGTCCGGTCATGTGAGTGCCCAGTTGTTATAGTGGAATTTATTCTGAAAACCCAAAATTTTGTTCCGGTTAAGAGAGGGGTTCGCTTATCCGCAAGTAGAGGTTTCACTGTATTATGTATACTTTTTAAATATCTCAATAATTGTTTACGGCAGCAAATGTATACTCTACGTATATACATATATCCATTAATTGTCAGACCAGATAGATTATATGTAATCTAAACTAGAGGTATAATGAGTTAAAAAATACTAAACCAATGAATATTTGGACTTGTCTGAATAGCAAAAGATGTGTTATTGGTCAGTAAAATGCAATATTTGTGGGGATTTACTTTCATTGCGCTTTTTACAACAAGCTCATGGACTGGCAATAGTATAGGTGTCGCTTCGGTAAGTCATAGTTACACAACTACTAAATATAATAATTTATAACTACAGTTAACACTTGTATGCAATCTTTTAGAGTTTTTTGCAATTTGAACAGTTCCATTCGCAATCGTTTGTGCCGAACGCTTTGCACATTTCATATCGTGTTGAAAATAATATTGGCATCTATTATAATGTCTCAGCGCTGCAGTCATTTCCGGGGAAAATACTCTTCAACATATTCATACGCAAAATTGGCAAAAATTTGGGTGAGAAATCGGTCAATATATTTAAACACAAAAATTTGGACTTATGCAAAATCATCGAAATGTTGCATAATTTTACTAAGGAGGAGTGTAAAAACGAAACGATACTGCAGAGTACCTTTATCAATTCGTGCCCGTTTAAACGCGGCTTTTACTACGTGGATAACGGCACTGTTAGAATGGAAGCGATGCCGCTATATTTTAATCGTGGGATCTATTGGGTACATGTCGAGTTAGTACAGGTATTTGGTGAGGTGACCAAATTAATGAATGTGAAAGCAAAATGTCGCTACGAACCAGAAGAGTTTGAAGGTGATTTGAATATATTCTCTATTTTTACAAACGCTTACAACAACAATTTGCAGTCGCTGCTAAATGTAAAGTCAAATGATTTTGCAAATTTTTATGCATATTGCATGAAAAGAATGAATACTTTGCGAGTTTTTTAGATGCACATATACTTGTATACAGACAGATATGGTATATACCTATACATATAAACATTTTGTTAAATGTGAAGTCAGTAAATGTAAGAAAGGGTAAAACGAAGATCTTCAATCGTTGGTCTGTTAGGGAAACGATTTTGTGGTTAAAATTGTTTTATGTTTACATACATATTTATTTATGTTAATTATGAAATCATAGATGGATAAACAAAAGAGATAAAGAACAATATTAAAATCGGGAACCCGTTTCCAAAGAATTTTATTGATGGTTATTTATATATGTATTTGTGTAAATGTAAGGGCATTGAATTGTTAAATAAATTATATCAGCTTATACATATATTTACATGCTAAATTAAAAGTAATAAAATAATAAATAAATATACTATGAATATATTTGCGCGTTTTTTTCAAAATTTGAATGTTTATTTACGAAAAAGATGTTCAAAATATTCTCCACTTGCAGCTATAATATTTTTCTATATTTCTGGTACGTTCTGCATCGACCAGAACAAATAGTAGTCAGAAGGGGCATGGTTTGGATTGTAAGGAGGGTGAAGCAAAACTTTCCCGACGCTGTTTTCTAAATATTCTTTAAGCAGTCTTGCCTCGTGTCAAGTCCCGAATTCCGCGCGTTTTCCAATAATCAATTGCTTTAATTTGATGAATTGTTGTCGGTAGCGGTCTCCATTAATGGTTTCACTCGGGCTTAGAAGCTCATAAAACAGCATTCCTTTCTGATCCTACTAAATATAGAGCTTCACGGGATGGATATTCAACTAAAATCACAACATTTTAATAGGGCAAACCACTTTTGGCACGTTCGCTCAGCTAGAGCATGTTAACCATAAAGATCCACCAAAATATGATGGCTTTCGGCTGAGGTTGCCTTCATTTTAAAGTAATCTCTTCTCAAAACTACTTTTTCAGACATAAAGTTCGACATATTTGAGTGAAAAAAGTATTGCTGATTACGTTTCAAATGAATGACATATACTGAAAAAGATTTTCAACCCATGTTCTGAATATTGGAACATCGGAAAAAATAATCAAGTTACACCCTCTCTTGCTAAACCGCACGAATACATCATTTCATTAGATATGAAATCATTAAATATGTAGTACTGAAATTACCATCCAAGGCTCTCCTATATACCTTCACTGTGCAAAAAAAAAAAAATAAATAAATAAGCAGTTGGTAACAAAACTTTTTAGATAATCCATTATTTCACCTGAAACAGTTTTTATGTATAAACGTACAAATTAATGTGTATACAAAATGAATATGAGCATAACATTTTAATAATTTTTAAAACCAGTTTTTTTTATTAAACAAACACTTTCATTCATAATAATGCACCATACTTCACTTACCTTAAAGCAACGGCATTTTCAACACTTCTAACACAAAATCTTTTAAGCAAATATTGAGTTTTAAAAGGTGTGTTTATCGCCATGCTAAAGATGTGATAATATATTTGAGCAGCTAAGCGGAAAAATTCTTCAATTTCAAGGAGAGAATTATAGAAAATTACGAAGCAAATTTATAAGGTGAGCAGGTATTAGGGTGGCGCTTAATGAAACAAAAGTATTTTGACAATTGCGTAAATAGGTATAAAAAAAAATATTTTGCAGTTGAATATTTTACTTATACAATTTTCTCAATGAAAAACTACATTCGGGCATAACTCTTGACAAGTCCACAACCCATAGGTTCTGTAATATTGCAAAAAAACGTTCTCTAATATTGCAACAGCAGGTCTCATTTGATTTCCATCATTATCCATATAGCATTCTTGACTGAAAGGAAGGAGATTCTGGTTCAAAAATTTAGGGTTAACATATGTGCAAGTTCATAAGTAAATAAAATAGAGTGGTGACTTTTCTAAATAAGAAATTGGTGAAATTAATTAACCACCGTATCATTTGGTTATCAATCTGAGCTCAGAGCCTTGTGGGTTTTACTCTTATAAAATTTAAATTGCGTATGAATTTGAATACAAATTTTGCTTGCCGAGCCGACTACACTATTCCAAATATATTTTTGATGTTGATCGGTATTTGTTTGTATGAAATCGTGATTTTTTCTCACGTTATCCTCCGTGGCAGCCGTTTTTGGGATGCCTGAGAGGGGTTAATTCAAAACCGACGTGCTATCACGTTGAAACTCGTTAAGTGGGTCGTATGCTTTCGTGGTTTGAATAAATTTATTTTTCATTTTTCTAATGTAGACATAACTGAATATATGCACTATAAGCGATTTGTTCGAAAGCATGCTGGTTTATGAGATAGTAAGCCCCAAACCCATCCTCCCGCTTTCCTATTCATACCGCTCAGTCAACTTTAAATGCTTTTTTTCAAAAGTAGTAGTAATATTGTAAATTAATTGTTACTTAATCACAAAACATTTCGCTATGTTTAGACACGAGCTTTTTTGGAAAATTTTAATTTTCGATTTTTTTGCTTGAAATATGTCCTTTCTAAAATCGTGCCCATTTTGTTCAAAAAAGCTTTTGTCTAGCCATAACATGGGTTATAAACATTAAGCAAACATAAAACATTTCTAAAAACCTTAACCAATTTTTCACAGCCACCATATAAATTAATCCAGCGCTTTTCGACTCTACTGCGCAATTTCTCTTTCAAAAACAAGAATCAAATTACCGACCGATATGTTTTTTTTTCTTTAAACTGCAGTCACGACCATTTCCACGTGGGTCAAAGCAGAACTACGATTATTCTGCGGCTTATATTACGAGCGTGTACCATATTAATTATCGAACCACCCTTGTGTGTTAAAATCGTTGTTGTTTATTGAGTGATAAATTCTGCACCTTAATTTTAGAACGCTAAATTTATTTACACCAAAACTGAGAACCTGCTCTAAATTACGAGAATGTGAACTTATGAGGTATTAAATAAAACAAAAATTGTTGCGGAGCAGAGTATCATGAAAAAAACAAGCTACCCTAATATGTACATATATAGTTTAGTGCTTTAGTTGATTGAACTTCCAGCTGTCAAAGAACTAAGGAGCTTAGAATTTAATATTAAATAATAATAATAAACTCAATTTGAAACCCCAGACAATAGAGTTATTATTATTTCGTCATCATTTTCTTTACAAATATTTTTTTAATTTACATACCATTACCACAGAGTATTTGGGAATTTTTTTCGTAAACATAAGTTTAATTAAAATTGATATACCTATAAAAAAGGTTTCGTAAGCGGCAGTTGTTTACATTTTTTAGTATATTATTATATTAAGACAAATATATTTTGCTCAAGTTCAGTTGTATAATCAGTATACGCACGTGCTTGACACTGGTTATTGTCACTTGCAACCATTTGAATTGGCAATTTATTACGAATTCGAGACGTACATACTTAACAACGGTTAATTACGACCGACCGAGCTACATGTTGTTTTTAACAAAATATTGTAAATTGGAATCATGTACGGTGATATTTTTATATACATATGTATGCATCATAAAAAAACAAATAATTACAGAGTAGTGAATTTTATATATAATTTTTTGACTTAAAATCAGCACCAAGTGAATTTACATATCTATTTGATGATTATAGTGTCATTATATTTGGTAATTTTTTATAAAATAGTTGCACTTTTATATATTATACTGTCTGATCAAATTTGACCCAGACTGGTCCATTTAGATTGCAAACACTAAAAAATTACAACCAAAGCTTTCGGTGCATGTCGTGAAGTCATCGAAAATTTTCCGAATGCACGTCGTCCATCCACCTCTGTTAATGACGTTAACAACAGGTTAAGAAACAGTGCTTGAAAATACTTGTAAACGAGTTGACATCAGAGAGCTAGCAAAGGATCTCAATATCTCTTATGAATCGATTCAACACATTTTGGTTAATGTTTTCAGTATGATGCATGTCAATGGTAAACTCGTACCAAAAGACCCTGAAGAACCTACATTCATCAAACGCATCATTACTGGTGACGATACGTGGGTCGAAACTGTCCAAGAACTGGAAAATTGAATTTAGAGTATTTTTTGTCAGTCTGTATGTATGTATTTATGAATATAAGCACAACATGTATTTTAATCTTCTACGAATTATTTTCGTTCCTAAAATACCCAACAATGACAAAAATTGCAAAGCTTTATCCTCGACTATCATCTCTCGGTAATTTTTGGGCACTCAGCAATTGATTACATGTAATGACAAGTGTAGTATTTTATCTGATCACAGAAACGCGTGAGTATGCATAAATGAAACTAATCGTTGCTTTTGTACAGACAAATCTATTAGCAAAATAGGGGCTTATGATGGATGCGTAGATCGTGCTGCCGCAAACTGAGCAATTGTGGTAATACATACGAACACGTCATCTGTTAACGATCAGGGGCAGTTGGTGTCTAATTGCCGCACTTGCGCTTTGTAGTGGATAATTGCAGGTAACAAAAGAAGCAACAGAGGCACGCACGAAATGGTTACACCCTAACTTAGTAAGCACGTTTGTATATACTTATATGTAAATATTATGTTATGCGTTTAAGCTTGCATTTACATATATATATACATTAGCGTGTGCGCGTCTTTCATGTTATGAGTAAATGCCTTTTCGACGGCAATTCGTGTCGCCAATATGTCTGACAATAGCCATAAAATAGCCAAAATTGACCATGAACTAGAGTGGTCGAGATTGACAACTGCATTAGTGTGTTATTCATTGTTGCGCCACAAGACTTTGAGGAATGTCATCGGTGACCGCTAAAAAGATTACACACAATAAGGTGTATATAGAAAAGATTTGTCTATATGAGCCAGTAATGACATGTAAATGTATACATACATATTCAACTCGTTAATGAATTAGTATATACAGAAGTCTATGAACTCTATAAATATAAGGTAGACTTTGTTTGTTCCTCCAAAATTTACATCTTTCTCGTTTTGAATTTTCTCGAACTACGTTTGCATAATTAATGCAAACACTTCGCAGGTTAAGTTTATGGGAATTTGCCGTAACTTGTTTTTTAAGTTAATTTACACTGTTTTGTGTATATTTATTACCAATTTTATAACTTTTTCTGTTATTTCGGGTTCTACGCCTATCAGGGTAATGCCCGTATAAGTAATCAAAAGAGTTTCCACCTTAAAATGCACGGAAAGTTTGTTGATAGTTGAATATACGTTGTAGGGCTAAGAAAACGATTAAAAATCACCAGAAGAATTTAACACTAACTTTTAATCTATAAATAAATAAACACTCATTTTGATTAATTTTCTATTAGTTAATTCTTATTTTTAAGTCCAAGTCCATTTTTATTTAAATAATGCGCCATGTTGTACAAAAATAACAAAATGGGATAGAACCTAAAAATTTGGCTCAGATGATGGTTACA